ACTGCTTTCTGAAAGACACCCAGTTGCTTTTCCCCTTTCTGCTGCTCTTACAGAGGTGAATGGGGGAGGACTTGGTGTGTTTTGAAATCCTCCCATCTGAAAAGCAAGAGTCAGGGTTTTCACAAAGTGCACCCAAGGAGGGGATATCCAAGGAGCTGATGCCAGGAAGGAGCTCAGATTGTTGTGGAGCCCAGAGGGAACTGAGGGGTAGGTGGCACTGGGGAGCCAAAAGGCAGGGGCAGTGCTCAGAGTGCCCGAGGCTTATGAGAGGGCAGCTCTGCAGTGACTCCAAGCAGGCAGGAATCCAAGAGGGATTGTAGACCAGGGTTGTTCTGGCAGGGAGGGGATGCTCTGGTGAGGATATTTTAATTTCGTGAGAAGAAAGACAGCTCTATAGAGAAGAAAGAGGTTTAGGAATGGGTTTGGAGAAGTGGGGTAAGGGCTGTGGAGGACACCAGGTCCAAAGACTGGGAGAACTGATATCAATGGGTGGAAGTGTTGAAGATGTGGTATTAATGAGGGGACTCAAAGGCAGGAGGGCCTGGGGCTCACCATGGGTGCCATTAAATGGGATCCTGGTTTGGGGATTGAGGACACACAGTGACCTGCCACATCCCCCTTCCTCCCAATGAGCTGCTGTAAACCCCTTTCTCATCTACCAGAAATACCAGAAATAGTATGTCAGTACATAGTACATCCACTTCCAAATAGAAGGTTTAACAATCTGATATCCACACTAAATAATGATTTAGTGTGACCAGAACTCTCCTCCTCCACCTCCTCCTCCTCCCCCCCCCCACATACTCTTTTTCTTTCAGTATATTAGTACTTAAGGAAAATTATGGGGCTATGTGGGTGGTGACACTTGTACTCCACAAACATAGGGTGGGTGCTGAGATCCTGCCTTCTGAGAAGAACTCACCAGAGTGACCAGTGAGGGCAGTGAGTGGGCAGAGCCCAGGCTGCTGCAGTGATGCACTTCAGCATCCTGCAAGGGGATTGCTGACTGTGGCTCTACCAGGACAGCCTGTGCCCACATCAGGGAGGGAAAGTGCTGCACCCTTACTGGTCATAGTGAGTCATTTGCACCTTCTGCTACATCTGGCATGAATTTCGTTCTGAGTTACTCTAGTGCATCATTATTTTCAATAGTTCCTTCACCAGAAGCTGGAGCCACAGAGGTGAAAATAATTACATTTACCAGAATCTGTCATTGAAATTGGCAGCTAGTTCTCATTAGAAACAAAACAATCTGGTTGTGAACAGCACTGAACAGTACTATTCAAGTGGTCACATGGGGAGTAAAATTATTCATCAGAAGTAATAAAGATAATATAATTGCCGGGTATTCAAGTACACCTGCCTGTACTTTTCCTCTGTGTGAGTTGAAATCAAACAAGGAAACAGTCCTTGGGGGACAAATCCAATTAACTGTGAAAAAGAGGAATTTACCAGAAGATTAGCCAGCCTGTTTTAATTTACAGAGAAATTTGTGTCACTCTTTTGTCTGTATGTAACACTATGTGCAACATAATGCTAAGTGTTAGCTTTAAATGTGCTTTTGTACGCCACTGCCTTGGATCACATCCATGGTTTTGGCCTCACCCATACTGTGAGGCTGCCAGTGTCTCTTTTGGCCATCCAGATTTGTGTCAATTATTTAAAACTACAGTGGCCTCAAATAATTAGAAAACTATGCTGTAAATTCCTGGACTACTCACAGGACATGTCCTGCCTTCATATACACAGATTTGTTGAGGCTTGGAAAACTTTCCACCAGCACTTTACCTCAGTGTCTTCTCTGGGGTTTTTGTTGTACACTTATTGAAGCAGTTTACAGGGACAGATTTAATAGGAACTTGGACTCAGCTTTTCAAAGGAATTAGGAGAAAAAACTGGTTTACTTGCACAATGTGCCTGTTAGATACAACTACAAGGGCTTTCTGCTATAATAGAAAAACCACACTGAAAAACAAGAGAAACAAAGATAGCCAGAGCAACACAATTTGAATTGTGTCTGTTTATATTTGAATGCCTTGTTTGGAGGAAGTTCTGTTTTTACCTTTAACACTATGCAAGTTCATACAAAAGTCAGTTTAATTTTAGTATTACTCAATTTCCAAAGAAATCATTTGGTTTTTTGTTTAGAAAACTTACTGCCAAGCCCCCTCTGCTGGAGGGAAGACTATGTTTTCATCCCTGCATGCTGAAGACATCTAGTGAAAGAATTCCAGCCTTTTACTGTGCAAGTAATTGCAGACTCAGGGTTCACAAGATCTTTACTATCTTTCTGTAATTATCTATCATTATCTGTCATGAGCTGAGCTTTAGAGAAGTCAGGATGATCTCTGCAAATGTGTTCTAATTCCTCCACACAGTCAGTGTGTTGAAAATTCATCTTCTCAATTGATTATTTTATCATCAAAGTTATTTTCAGTAGTGTCCACCCTCTTCACACCCCCCACGTCTCTTATGTATTATTTACATCTTTTGTCAGCAACCATTGTACACAATTAGAGTGAACTTGTATAATATGTCTATGCAGGAAACAGTGAAAATCTGACTCCGAGAAGCACACATGCTTTTCCAAGGCAATTCAAACTGCAAAGACCTGCTTTGCTTATCTCTCAAATGTGACAAGAGAAGCTTGCTGGATGAACAACAATACTATGTGCTGGTTAAACCACATTCATCATTTGTGACACAGCCTTTTGCAAGGACCAGCTTTATATTTACAGATCAGGAAATAGGCCCAGCATGGATTTCAGTCCTGCTCTGGAACAGATTGCCTGGTGACCTTGCACTATTTGATTAGGTTAAAAGCCAAAAAAGAAATGTGTCATGACATTGAGCATTGTCCAACAAAACTGGAACTTCCTGAGATAAAGTGTTGGACCTGTTTAAGGTCCTCTGTGGTGCACTTTGAGTTTCTTTGAAAGGAGATCCAAAGCAGCCAGTATTCCATGCAAGCAGCCAGTAAGAACTACTGCCTATAGATATGTGTCTGAAGCTTTTCCCTCTGTTGAGCTTGTTCAAAAGTTGATCTTTGAAGATTGGCAGTCCTTTAAAAAGGGAGCAAGCCAGGAGAGCATTGTTGGAGCAGCTGATTAGTACTTAGAAGATTCTTCGGTGTGTGGAAAAGTGAGATTTGTGTCCCTGCTTGGCAAAAGGGCAGTCAAACTTGACTTTCTCCCTTTCTGAAAGTTGTCTCAGCTACTAAGTAGCAGTCTCTTCTCATTGAGAGGGAATGAGGAGTATTTGTTAGCCAAGAGAGACTTGGAGCTTAACAGCTAGAGCACTCACCTATGAGTGGGAAACAGTGGTTTCTGGTGACTGCTCTAAGTGCTGGTACATACAGTACATTAAACAGTTCTTAGATAAGCTACACAAGTGGTATTTGAGGCTGAGACAGAATTCAGTGGCTCACCTCTCTCAATTCAATGCCCCAGTCTTCATGTTTAAGGGCAAGTCCCATTCTTTCTGCAGGTCAATGGCTCTTGAAGGCCTTTCTGTGAACTAAAGAAAGTTCACAGGAAGACCAGGGAGTGTTTCCTTCTACAGGCTAACGGTGTGAGGTCATAATTTCAAAATGAGCTTGACAAGCATGTCCTTGAGTCCCTCTGTGCCAGAAAGGGGTTTGAGCCTGAATTTCCCAAATTTAAGCCCAAAGTACCCACATTCCCACAAAAAGATCTCACTGGCAAACTGTTGCATAAAATTGATGAGGTTTAAAAGATGATGGTACCCCTTTAAAGAAAGTGTTTCTAATGAACTCTCTGAAGGGATGAGAACTATTTCAAACCCCTATTATTTCATTCAGTTTGATAAAATACTGACAGTTGTTCCATGAAAATCAAACTGTAGCAACACTGAGGAAAGGAAAACCATGCTGAATTGGTGTTTTATGTTTAAAAATAGCTTTAAAAAATATAATTGTATTTCACATGAAAACATGAACTAATTAAAGTTTCCTAGAATATACTGTAGTTACAGCATGTATCCTGGTGGGGTTAAATGAGTATTCAGTCCTAGCTGCAGTAGACAATAAATGTTAAATTTAACAACAGGTTTGGAGTAGAAAGAAGTTTAAATAGCCCTGAGTTCTAGGGAATTTAGAGAACCCAACCCATGTTTGGAAATTGATGCCCAACCTCTTTGCTCACAGGGGAGAGGGTTAAATAAAAGTTGTGTCAGTTCTTGTGTATGCAACATTTTGTGACTATGCTACAACTCCTGGCTGATGAAATGCAGCTGCATCACCTCCCAGGTATAAGTCATCTGTTGCTTTGTAATTGCAGTGCAATTAGGAGTTCCCTTTCCTTTTGAATTAGAAGTTTATTGCAGGGTCTGTGCACAGTGAAGGAAGAAGAGAGGAAGGGGAGAAAAAAGGTAGCAGGAAGTACTTCAGCCCCAAGCAGTGGGTGATGAGACAGCTCTGCAACAGGAGGAGGCATTTGGACATGCTTAGATAAACCTCAAGAGTTTCTAGCTCTGCAGTCTAGACATCTCATTGCACCTTCACAGGGCTCTTGTGCTCCTATGATCAGAGCTAGTCTACTTCCAGAGGCCAAACTGTGGCCAACCAAGCTGTAGCACTTAATAAAAGCTGGAAAAGGAAGCAGAAGCTCCCTCCTGCCTCATGGGACAGAGGACTGGGGCTGACCCAGGATACAACCTGCCACTTTGCAGAGGCCTTTTTGTGCAGAGCCTGCTCATTTCTCACCATCTGAAATGCCCAGTTTTCCCATTTATACCGAGCTGCAACACAAAGACACAACTTTAGAGCTATTAAGTTGAAGCATTACATGTTCAGACATCTACAGGTAATATAAAAGTGTGAATGAAAACCAGTGAATTGAACATGGTAATGGAAACTTGTTCTTCAGTATGAACCTGCATGAGATACAGCTACTAGGAAAGATAAAAGCATTGCTCCTAAAGCATCTGTCTGTAACTGTGCTGATGAAAAAACTAACAACAGTACACTCTTTTATACTCAGGTACCAGGACTTTAACTGAGCTTAACGCAAGACTACAGACATTGGGGACATTGGAAAACATGCAAACTATTTGGAATTCAAGGACAGAAGTTTTCCCCACAGTTCGTGAGTAAGAATTTCATGGCACTGCTCCTTTTATGACTTACATGTACTCTTTGTTATCAGTTTGTAACACTCCACAGCTGTGTGACGAAGATTGCAGAAGTACTGGTGGGGGGAGCTTTACTGTTTCACATCTGGGAAATGCAGCCTTTAGAAGGAAATGCATCTATCTATTGTACAGATCAAAAGATGAATGAAAAAGATTTTCTAATTACTTTCGGTTCTGTTTTCTTTGGCTGGAATTTCTGTTTTCCCCAGACAATTAGGTGTCCAGCCAGAATCCAGGGTAGTACAATGACATTTATAAGAAACAGAAGGGAAAGTAGACACAAGCAAAAGGGATGTTCACCAAACACTGCCAGCTTTGAGTAAAATGTGGCACTATTTAAATGAATGCTCCTGTGACACTGAACTTCAGAGATTTTCTTAATAAGGACTGTTCCTCCCAGCCTTGCTTTTGCAAGTCACTAGTTACCAGTACTTGGGCTGATACCAGAGGAGCCCCAAATTGTGTAGCATTTTTCAGAAGACACTGTGGACCCTTCATAAAAGGAAATACACCCTTCAGTCAGAAGAATCAGGGATTGATTCAGAGCAGTGCTGGTTTTATAAGCAGCATATACTATTATGGGCCAGCCAAAGTATTTTGTGAACTCTATCCACATTATGCTGCTGAATCTAACCTAGATACCAGAATGCTTAATTTTACTGAGAAGGGAGGAGCAGTGGAACTGGAGAGTGACTGGGGCCAGCCCAGTTGCATTTGAAAAATGTCTGCACTAAGCTATTAATTCCTCCATTAATTTGGTTAACTGTTGCTGACCAACCTGGATGGAGATAAAAAAAGGGGCCTGGAGAATACTTTTGCTATTGCAAATACCCAAGTATTTGATTTCACAGAAATGAGTGTAAAACAGATTGCATTAAATGACAGCATGAATGCAATACTGACTGTGCTTCAGCCTCCTTATCTGCACTGATGAGTGCTGGAAGCTCTTGTGGTCTGGAGTGGACTGACACACCACTGAGTTCCCAGCAAAGGAAGAGCCAGAGGCACCAGAATGCAAATAAATCAGTGGCCTGTGTCAAACAGTGGGGTCAACTGCTCAGTTCTCCCTCTGCCTTAAAATCTATGAAAACAACAAAAATTAAAATACCTAACCCACACCTGTTAGGGTTATTAGTAATCACAGTATTATCTTTATAACAGTCTAGATAATGTATAGGCAAATCAGAGATATCTGTAGATAAGAAAAAGAAACCAATATGTGCCTTTCACTTTCACCCTGTATGATTTCTCATAAATGAAGCTGTAACCGGCAACGGAGCCCAAGGACTCTGATGAGCTTTGCCTTGCAAATCTGAGGTCGTGCACTGCCCTTTTCTGTTCTAAAGTGTCTATTGTCTGAAATTCGTATTGGTTCAAATTGCAGCAGAGCTACAGCTCTTCAAATGCTCCTGTGCAAAATTTGAAGTGACTTGAATGTAAGTGCTCGATGTTTGGAACGTCCGAACTCCAAAGGTGCAACCAAAAATGTGCACACACTGTCCTGCCAGCTCTGCACAGCCACTCCGTGCTGTGACGTTTGCATGGATGTTAGGCACCATCTGCACTGAACTGATGTCTCCTACTTGGCTCTTAAAGTATTGACAGTTTCTATTTTGAACAAACAAGCACTGATGGCTTTTGCAATAGAGTGCACTACTGCGGGTCTGGTTTTGTGGGCTTGTCAGGTTTTGAAAATAGGGTGTACTGGGTTTGCATTTATCATTCATTGCTGCTTTTCATGACAAGCTGAAAGCTTGTGCATTTTTGGCTTCAATATTTTTTAATCCCCAAAGAGTCACTTTTTGGTTGTATTTGAATTTCAAGTCTCAGTTTTGTTGTTTAGTTTGGAGGCTGCCCTATATAGAGCTACATTTAGAAACAATCGTTGTGTTGCACAGCTATGTACCTTTTAGCCATCTACAAAAAGTCATATATTTTTAATTCACTGATAAGTGTTTAAATATATTCAGGTACATAAGTGGTTATATAGTTGCCTCACTGCAGTCTTCACACAACCACTAGTTCAGTAGAAAGGTCAGGTTATTCAACATAAAAAGTTATTTTAATATTTTTCCTGGAAGTAGGTCCTTTTCACAATTTCTTTGTATGTTCCTCTGGTTCATGTTGTTTTGCTGTTTAGTTCATAGCACAAGGTCTAAAGTCTCATGGAATGAGGTGATTAAAATCTTGGAGCACCAGTAGATTTATTTAACTTAACAAAAACTGAATACCATCAGGTATTCAGGCTCATAGATCAATTGTCAGTGATGGCTGTTCAAGACATTGAATGCCAACAATAAAAGTCTGACCTTCATTCCATCAAATTGATATTTGACCCAGCATATTCTGGGTTGAGTGGAGAGAGATGGGTCTTAAATAGAGAGCTTCAATACAGTGCTTAATATAAGGTGCTGTACAGACTGTAAACTAGAACCTGTGATTAAAATGACTTAAATCAAGAGGTGGAGGCAGTTTGTGACATTTTAATGTCAAATTATATTTTAAAATGTGGCATTTCCATATGGGTCACAGAGGTTTTTCTAAGATGAACTGATGATATGCCTCCCCATTGGTTCATGCAATCTCGTGTCTTTTGATTATTTTAAGAAATTAAAGAAGCCTGAGAATGTGAAAACATGCTTCAGCAATTATACACCGAGTGTTCTGGTTTAGGAAGAACTCTCTGATTTTATTTGACATTTTATATCTTCTCTTAGACTTATGAAAATAGGCCTTGTATAGCCTGTACACTGATATGACTTTAATCCAAAATTAACTTTCCAACATTCGTTCGTTCATTCATTCATTCATTCATGCCAGTAGTGGGGGAGCAGGCTGCTATTTGTAGGGTATGGCAGTAAATCCAGGCCTGTAACTACTTCTGGTTTTGAACCTTGCTTTACAGAATGAACACCACAATGTAAGAAATTGAAAACTCAAGCTTCTTTAGGTCCCAGTCCACCTAAGTACATAAAAACATGTAAGTGCTGTTACTGAGCAGCTTTAAACAAAAGTTTCACTGCTGTTGATTTCCTCTTTATATTGTTTTTGCTTTTTCAGTCATTCAGCTGTGTGTCCTGAATTCACACCCAGGGTCCCCCCTGCAGAGCAGCACGAGGCCAGCTGTGCCTTCAGCTGGGATTTTTGCTTTTGCTTTCTGAAGTACCAATACCAGAGCCTTCCTGCTCAGCCCTTGGCAGTTCCTCCTTTCAAGGCCATTTCTGCTCTTCCTCTGATGTTTCTGCCAGCACCAGGTGGGTCAGAGGACCATTGCTCTATCCAGTTTCTGAAGAGGATGCCAGTGCTGTTAGTGACCTGTGTCTAGTCCAGGATCCTTTTTATCTGCACCCCTGGACAAAGCTTTAGTCACAGCCTCATGGAAAATAAATGCAGCCATTTTACATGGAGATTCTCTGATCTCAGAGCAAAATTTTATTAGTCAAGGACAGCACCACATATGTGTCCTAGGTGATACTCATGGGAATACAAGTAACAGAACTGGCTAAAGCATAGAGAATAGTGAGGGCAATTCACTTTTCACACAAATTGTCAGTGACTGTAAAAGAGCTGATGGTCTCCTTGGTCATGTAACCTGCAGCCACTACCAAACCTGCTATTAAATATCCATATCCTGAAGACTCTGCAAAATAGTACCTCACACAGCAGCAGAGGGGAGGGCTTTCTCCTCTCTGGCTCCCTGTAACTCTTGGAGGCTCACCTCAAACTTTCATATTCAAATAGCTTGATATTAATCTCAAAATTCCTGAAGTTTTTCTGTGTGCGTAATGTGAGATTGGCTTAAAATTCCTGAGTCTTATATTTAAACTCTGAACGCCTTTTAATCCTGTTCTAACATTTTATTAATTTGAAATTACCTTGATTGGTGGTGGTGGTGTAGCTGTGATGCTTTCAGTTTAAACAAGATCAGCTTTGTAGGGAGAGATGGTGTCTTTGACTGGACCTCAGAAGGATTTTGCCTGCTTGAAAATTTGACTATTAGTAAATGCCTCTCCCTACTAAGCACCAGAAATTTGTTTCATGAATCTTTGAAGAGGCGTTGAACATTGCAGAATCCTGGCAATGTATGCTCTGGAGTGGCTGTAACTTCTCAGCTTTACTGGCTTCTCTGTATATTTCTAATAGTTGACACCTCAGATTTTAAGACTTTGAAAGTAAAAGGCTCCTCTTCTGGTTACTTCTCTTTGGGAAAATTGTTCTGCTCCCACATCACTGGATGAACTGGATGTTAACAATGCTAATTGGGGTGTATTTATGCAGAGGCAGCAGCTGTCAAGGGAAGACACTGTGATCTGTATTCCCCAACACTGCTTATAGGGACTCTCTAATTCTTTTATGAAGTGAAATGAAGCAGAAAGGCTGAACAAATGAAATCTTCTGACTACTGGCTTCGCTTCAGTCGGGATGAAGATCTAACACTTTGGATGCCATTCATGTTTCCTGTTTAAAGAGAGGGGTTTTTTTCTTGAGCAGGAGTCTGAGTAAGCCCATCTGGAAGCCAGCTTTGCAGACTACTCCCAGAGCAGCAAGCACCACTGGTAAAGTAAAGACTACAATTAATTTTTTTTTCTTTAATCATGTCATAGTCCTATTCCATAGAACACTAATTTATTTTGGTTCCATACCAGCATATTTATACCATGGAAAGAAGCAAACAGGTGACACCCACTTCTGCAGAACACCACTGGAGCTCTCTAAGCATTTCCTCTGAGTATTCTTTGTAAGTGAAATGAGTCAGCGAAGTGGGGGAGCATTGCTCTGTGTTCATAGCCTGCAGGCTCCCCTCAGCAGGGGCCTGTGGTGAGTGACAGGAACTGGTTAAGTTTGCGTGATGGTGAGAGCAATGAAATAATTTCTCATGCTAAGGCTGGCTGTACAAGCTGAGGTTTCCACCCTCTCTGAGGAGATGATGTTTTTCTCTGCCACACACTGGGTGCAGCTGTCAGCTCCTGGCAGCTGCAGGAAGGCTCTTGCCGTAATCCTCTGCAGATTCCACTAAACATAAGCTAACATGCAACGTATAGCATCTGTATTAGGTTCTCAAGTAGGATTTGCCATGAAAGTTATGTTAATTCATCTTATCTTAGCGTGACTCGCCTGCAGTTTGGGCTGGATGACTCTATGGGAGAGGCCAGACTCTTCTTGTTGTTGTAAGTAGTGGGATTAGGATGTCTGCTGCTCACATTCACCTGCCTTTTTTCAAGTCACTTCTAAAATGCCACTTATTCAGAGCTCCCTGCTAACTTTGGCAGCTTGAATCTGGAGTTTTCCTGTTTCAGCAGATGACTTTGTTGGCTCCAGGTCTTTTGAAATTCCTGGACAAACACAATTTACTGCCAGACTGATCAGTCCCAAGCATAAATTACAAGCAGCAGAAGCTCAGGTTAGGGATGTAAATATGACTGACTTCCAACCCATTTATTCCAACTCATTGATCTGTTAATTTCAAATAATTAATTAAATTCTGTGATGATGTGATAGGTAGTCTGAAAAAAAAACCCTTGAAGGATTAAGATGGTTTTCCAGACTTCAGTCAGCATGTCCACATTGCATCTTTTATGCAGTACAAAACAAACACCAGGAACAACTGAACTTTATATTCTTGTGTTTGTTTCATATAGTTCTGTGTGCAGTATAAGAAAATAAATCTAAACTAGTATGTATCTTCTAAAGCTGAAACCTGATACTTGTCTGTGCTAAAAGTTGCCCTTCAGTGAATTTTCTTAGAAATACCAAGGAAAGGAAGACAGTCAGTCTCAGACTCCTCCATTACAGAGTAATGCATTAGTACAAAGTACAAACCTTAAAAACAACCCCAAAAACCTAAAACTTTGTTTGAAACACAGTTAGTGACTTCTCAGTGCTAGGAAAGTGAAATAGAAATAAAATTGAAGAACCTTTTCTGTACACTTTGACCCTTGGACTGGGGTGGAGATATTTTTTAAAACTCCTTTGGGTAGGATGAAAGGCTGTAATAGATCAGAACTTCTGGCCAAGGGAAAGGAGGATTTTTGTGCTTGTGTAATACCAGCCTTTTACCAAAATTAGAGAGGGGAGCAGAGAATTTCTTCCATTTTAAGTAGTACTGTCAGTAAGAGCACGGAAAGGTCTGAGCTGGACAGAAAATTTCTAATTGCAGCTTCTTTGAAAATCGCTTTTCACGGAGATCTGGGGTCAAATTCTTTTCTAAGGTCTCTTGGCACCATACCAACAAAACAGTGCCAGTGTAATTGAGGGAGCCCTGGCTCCTGCTATGCTCTGGGCTGTTATCCAGGTGTAGTTTGACCTTTGTGTTTTACCCATACTGTGACCATCTCACATGCACGTCAGTGTGAGGAATAATGTCCTTGAAGATTGCTTTGAAGAGAGGCACCCATTGTAGTAGCAGGCAGAAGAAGATTGATTCCTTTCTTTTAATCTGTGCAAACCAAAACTCTGTCTCACCCAGGGTGCTCTCAGGAAATCCGCTCATGTTTAACCCACTGTAATTTACAGCCTGTCAGGCACCAACTCATTGCCTTTTCCAACTGTGTGTTGAGCTTCCTCTGCTCCCCTTAAATCAGAGGATTATCACTGTGGGGTCACCTCCAGAAACCAGCCTGTTGAGGCATCAGACTTTCCTTGCAGCTTTGGAATGTGTCTCTGTGCTTGGCTGAGACAGTTCTTTGGTAAGAGCTTTGCAGATAATTCAATGCAACTTTGCATTTTACTGAAAGACAAGGATTTTCTGGTTTGGGAAAACAAATCCATTTCTTGATGCAGATTGCCAGCACTCCTGCCCTTCTTATAACACAGTTTCTAGAAGGCAAATCCTTTAAAAGGGACCTTTTAGTCTCTCCTGAAGATTACACTCTTGTAGGGGTCTTGCCTTCATCTGTAGATTTAATGGCTTAATAAGCATTAGACCCTCCTGTTATGCAGTAACAAATAGGAATACAATACTTTTATCAATATTTGGCACAATTAATTTTTTTTTATGTGAAACTAAATATTGATGCTGTCAAGTGACTGCAGCTCAGGGACATAAATTACAAATATTCTTTTCCTATGAGCCTTGCTCAAATTTTGCATTCATATACAGTAACCATCTAATGTCTTTCTATTCCTGTAAGCCATATGATTTGATTGCCAGATTACATGGTTCTGTATTGTGCTTAGATGTCAGTGTTTTTATTGTTATTACCAATATTATCTTTTATCCTTACTGTAAGTGGTAACAAAAAGTTAACTGCTTCCTTACACTATAAAAAGAATAAAGTCCCATTTACAGAATATCTCTAAACAGAAAATATCTCTGGAAAAAAGATATACGAATAAATAATTCACAACATCATGGGTGAGTAGAAAAAAAAGGGGTTTGATGTATTTTGCTACTCAAAATAAAACCAGATTTTTTAGACTGGCTATTTTAGTGGAGAACAAAAGCTCTTTTAAAGAAGAATGATTGCAGGGGGATCAGTTCTCCGTGCATTTTTACCCGTTCTGCACTTTTGTTGGTAACAGGACTTGTGACATTGATTAATCCATCCCCTTGGTTTTCCCAATTCTTTTCTCTGTTCCATCCTCCTGCTTTTGCATTAGCTTATTTCTTGGCTTATTTTCTAAAGAAAATGTCAACCCACCCACCCACCCAAGAGAAACCATAACATTTCAAGGATTTCGGGCTGCGGCAAAGCGAATTAGCCTGTCTGTAATATAAACAGACAGCAAATAAATTCTTGAAGGCCTTGGAATTAAAGTCTCCCATCTTAAACCCCCCCATACTTTCAGTACATTACACTCCAGATTTCCACATAGGTGGAATAAGTATACAATAATAATTATCCCGAGAGCATCCCCGGGAAAATCAGGACGGGCATTTTCCTGTTTTCTCATGAAACCGGAGGAGCTCCATCAGCTCTGCAGGAAACATCGAGCGGCGACAAACCCCCCGGGACGGCTCGGGAGGGCTCACACCGGCTGGGGACAAAGAGCAGAGCGGGGTCTGCAGGGCGGGGCCGAGTCACAGCGAACGGTATCACACCGCTCAATCAGACTTTTACGTTAGTTTTTTGCACGTTAAGGAGCCGATCCTGAGCCGAACTCAGGCAAAGCGAGGACCAGCCAGGCGCCGGGTGCCCCATCCCGGTGTGGGGGTGCCGGCTCGGTGCAGCCGCTGCGGTCAATGAGAACCACCTGGGGACACGCGATGAGCCCCAGGCCCGGCACAGCGCGGTGCGTACTGACAGCACGGCTCCCACAGCTGCAGTGTGTACTGACAGCACGGCTCCCACAGCTGCAGTCTGTACTGACAGCACGGCTCCCACAGCTGCAGTGTGTACTGACAGCACGGCTCCCACAGCTGCAGCCCCGCAGCCTCGTCAGCGCAGCGCTCCGGCCGCCCCTGAGGCGCCGCCGGGGCGGGCCCTGCGCTCTGCCCGCCCTTCCCGGCCTTCCCGCCCTCGGCCGCCGCCGCAGCATGGCCGGGGAGGCGGCGGGCCCGCCGGTGAAGGTGCTGTCGGCCCAGCTGCGGCGGGCGGAGCGGGGCGCGGGCGGGACGTGGCTGCTGGGCCGGGCGGGCCGGGCGCCGCTGGCGCTGCGGGCCGTGTGGATGCAGGGCACGGTGCTGGAGGTGCAGCGCGGCGCCCGCGGCGGCTCGGCCCGGCTGCGGGACCCCAGCGGCGCCTTCACCGTGCTGGGCGTGGAGCAGGTGCCGCAGGGCCGGCCGTGCCTCAGCGCAGGTACCGGGGGCGGCGGGACCCCGCGGAGCGGCCTTTCCCTGCCCGGGCCTGTTCCGGCGGAGCTCGGCACATCCCGGCCCCTGGGAGGTGTCGCTCCCCACGCGGGAACCCAGGAACAGGGATAGGAATTTTTTTTCCCCCCCTATTTTTCCTTCTTCTGCCCCTCACGAGTAGCGTCAGATGCACTGGAGAAGTGTTGGACTGCGGCGCTGCAGGAGTTGTGGCACAAAACAGGCACTTGGCCTAAATTTTCGGTCTTCTCAGTTGCCCTCCGCCCACTTACGCACTAGAGGGACAAATTGTGTGCTTGTTTGGCTCTTGTTGTACGTGAAAATCTAGTCAAATCTGCTGTAAAAGTGGCTGTACAGGTAACGAAGCCTTTTTTCCCTGAAATTCAGTTCTAGACAGTCTTCATGCTTGAGTTTTCTTGCAAGTATCAGCAGCTTCAATTCACAGTGTTTAATTGGCTTTAAATAATTTGCATTATGAATTAAAATGAATGTACAGAGGTTAATTTAATTTCACTCTTGCTTGGTTTTTTAGGGAAATATGTAATGGTGATGGGTGTGGTGCGGTCCTGCAGTCCTGAGCCTGTTCTTCGAGCAATAAAGATGACAGATCTCTCTGAAAACCCCGTGCATAAGGATATGTGGAGCCTTGAAGTGGAGGAGTTGCAGAGAATCATCCCCTAGATACTGTTTTTCTGCCTAAAATAACTGGAAATGTACTTTCTTGGTGTCAGACTATTCTGTGTGTTTGTGGTTTCAACCAACCACCAGTTACTCTTGGAGTAAACCAAAGTGAGAAGTCGGACTCAGAGTCAAGTGTAGGGATCAGTGCTTATCTGATAATAACTGCAATGTTCATGTCTTCCACCGTCTCTTTTTACACCAACAGATTTGAGAAACACCTGTTGGATGTTTTGAGTAAGGTGTCCATGCTGTTAGGAATGCTCCATGTTTCTGTGTTAGTTGCTGTTCCTGGGAGCATGTGTTGAGGAAGTCATTCCTGCAGCAGGGCAGGTGTTCTTGGCAGCAAGGGCTGCACAGAACTCATGTTGCCAGGGTGAACTCAATACCTGGAACGAAGGCAAAATGTGTTTAGATTGTGGTTGGAAATAACATCTTTGCCTGTATTTTCTCTTTCAGTAATGACCACGTCAGTAAACTCCGCTTGTAAGACAGATGTCTCTTGGTAACCATAAAGCAGAATCTTGTACTTAAAAACCTCTCTGAATTCTGAACTATTGAAAGTGGTACAGTAATGACCCCTGTGTTCCAGTGAAGTGAAATAAACTGAAAAGTCATTATGCAGGGTTCCCTGGAATAGGTTCTTCAAGATGCAAATACTTTTACCACCTTATGAAACAAGTTTTCTGCCCCTAAGTGTATTTTTCTCTTTGAAGGTTTCTTGTTCCAATGTATGCTATTTTTAGCTGTTTAAATCATTCTAAAATATATTTTATTTTTAATCTTTCTTTCTTCCTTGTGTGGGAGAACACAAAAGTATGACATCAAAACACCTTTAAAAAGAAGAAATGTTACTATTTATTTTCCCTTTTACCTAAAGAGAGCTTGAATCCTGAAGACTATATTGCATTATCTGTGTGGAATAGCTTTGTGTTTTGGGACTGTGTTGTCCAGGAATATAGCTGTGTTAATTGGGAATACATGTCAGAAGGGAAGGTGATTTCTGATTGAACAGTACAACTGGAGAACCAAGTGATGGTAACTACATTTTTTAATTATGAGGTTATGTTTTCAATTGTGAGGTTATGTTTTCAAAGCATGTGGAAATTAAATAGTCTCCTTTAAAGATTTCAGATCTTTGCAGATGAAGGACTGGATTTCAGAGTGCAATTCCCAGCCTTGAGTTTGATATTCCAAATGAGACCACATCAGAGACAGTAGGATAATGGAAGTCCTGTGCTCTGAGACCCTGCTCACGTAATACCAAAATAGACAGAGATACAAAGTTTTGATAGTCTGGGTTTATTTACTGTTTTAAATCCTGGGGGAAAAAAATCCACTTGTGGAATGCTGTAGCCTTTTAGAAATGATCCATGTGGTCAGCATGTTGACTGGCAGCTGCTCTTGCTGATGATAGTTTTCCATCTGAATGCTTCTTATGCAAGGAACCTGAAGCTTGTTCCAAATATGTTCACTTTGCCATGCTTTCTAACCAGGCAGTAAAACCCTGGAAATAAACAGCAAAAACCCTGAAAATGAACAGTTAAAACTGCTGCACCCTTGCTAGTGTCTGTGAATTTACAGAATTAAACGTGGCTTGCCATCTGGCAGTGATTCGTATTTACTGAATGCATTTGAAAAGTTGTATTGATGTAGGATTAGATTGTATTTAGGTAGGGCTGGATCGGATCTGGACGTGAAAGGCATAACCTGGGAACAGCTCAGAGGTAACCAACAACATCTGAGGGCAGTGGCTGTAGTTTAAAATGTTTATTGGGGGAAATGGTGTCTTTATCACCGGTGATAAGTTACATGCAGCTTTCAGGAGACCTGGTGTCTGCATCCAGCTCAGTGCTGCTGTTTGCAGTTAACATTTAGTTAAACTTCTGTTTATTGCTGACTGAGCTTTTCTGAATCTTTTCCTCTACCTGCTTACATTTTACTTTGAAAAAAATCCTGAGGTGACAGCTGCAAGAACAAAGGTGCTCGGTGTGCTTAGCTGGGGAGTGAAATGACATTCAGTGACTGGGGAGAAGATGATGCGTTTTTTTGAATCACTAACTGATATAAATACTCTTTAACTTTCAGAAATATTTCATACAATTTTGGCTTCATTACAAACCACCTCTATAAGGGTGCAGTTATAAAATTACAACAGAGGAAGACTTGATTTCTATTGTGTTTTATACAGCAGCATCTGATGTGTGTGGAAATCCTAACAAGTGCAGGGATTTTTTCCTGACTAGTGTGGGGATATGTTTTAGTTAGAATGTGTCACGCTAGGGAGTTTCGTGTTCAGGAAGAGAATGTGGCTGAAAGCAGCATCCACGAGGTAACAGAGGCCCGTGCTGGGTTTGTCTGTGAGCCATTCAAACCCCGCCAATTCCAGCTCTGTAGATCAGTACAGGTTTATATTCTTATGAATAATCAATAAAAATGTACTCCAGCATAATAATAAGGAAGTCAAATGTTTATTAGCATTATCTCCTAGTTCAGAACACCATTATTTCAACGTTTGCATGTTATGTAAAGACATGGGAAGGATTTTGCAGTGTTAACCTTTTGCTGAGGAATAGCTGCCTTCCAGGTACAGGTGGAGAAAGGTAATGAATTTCTTTAATCAATAGACTTAAAATATAGAAAAGGATTTAACAGATAAGACGTTTTCACACAACAACAGCTATAGCACCTTAAGGCTACTTTATGGGTTGGATAGATATCAATCACCCTTTCCAAACACATCAGCTGATTTCTGAGAAAGGGCTTCTAAAGGCACAAAGGGAGAACGTGAAACTGGTACACAGATACCAAGAAGGGTGTTTCTCATTTAACAGTGTATACGTTAGTAAGTGAAAAATCAGCCAGCATAAAAAATGAGAAAATTATCAAGTGCTTTCAATTATTTAACCATCTTATTTGTACTGTAGCTCTCGTGTGTTGGAGCACTTCCCTTGGAAAAAAAAAAAAAAAAAGATAACTTTGTCCAGAACCGCTGAACAGCAGAGTTTCATTTCTGGAGAAAAAAGAAGTCAGCATCTCTGCTGACTCAAAGCTGATAATGCTGCTTTCACAAAGTATTCTACTTGTACTAATCTGAGCTGGAAGAGACCTTTTGTCAGCTTTTAAATGTATTTATGCTATGGTTCAAGGCTTGTGGAGACACAATTTTGCCACTGAATGGGAGAATTCTTTTAAAGTAATTGATACTATTATGTTCAATTTCCTTTGGTTGATTATAGTTTCTTGTCAGTATACTGAAATAATTCCTCTTGCCCTCAGGGGTTCTGGTGGAAAGCTTTTCTTTTATACTATATGTGCTTCATTATATTCATTGTCTAACACTAATGCATTTGCACTGCTACTGTTCTGCTCCTGCCTCTAGCTTGTCTACCTAAAATAACTTCTATTTTAGGGTGCTGAAAGGGTTCTTCCATCTCCAGGGCTGGTATGTGCCATTCAGAACAGGCTCAAGCTGAAATGAAGAAGAGATGAAATCCAGGTAAGTGGTTAGTAAGTACAAGTGACATGTAATGCAACCTGTTATTACGCTGAATTACAAGAATCTATGAAGGGAAAAATAGCATCAAATACATTTATGACATCAACAAGCTGTGGGAAAAGTACTCCAGCGTTTTAGATACAGTTTTATCTTGGATACGCTAAACTGAAAGAAAGATGTAGGATTCTTTCACGTTTGATAAATTCATGTTTAGGAGGGAAAGAGCAGCATTATGTCTGAAGTTTATGGGCTCTGGCTAGTTCAGCTGTTCAGTGGAAGATCCTTGACAAGAGTGAATTTCTAGGAAGCGGTGCAGAGGTGGTTACTCCAGACAGACACTTTCTGTTTGGTTCTTTGACCATGGCTGGCTGTCGGTTACTGTGCGTGACTGGACTGGCCACAACAGACTCTTTCACTGTGTCAAACCCAACTCTCCCTTACTGTAGTTTGGTCTGTTACACTTCCTTCTCTTTAGTGTGTTTACATATTTAGAGACTTTACTCATGTTAAGTCTCAGCCCTTCAATTTTTTACCCATGACTGTTCTCAATTGGTTCACAGTTTAAGTAAAACCTGGTGTCCAAAACTGGATACAAAAGATGAATAGAGAAGAATTATTTCTTGCCTTAAATATGTTTATTCTTGTATACATCCCCAGTGTACTTTGCTTGTTTAAGAGCATGCTTTAATAGCATGTTATTGATAACTGAGCTTGTGATCCACCTTCATTCCAATCCCTTTCTTCAGATGGGATAATATAAACCAGCAGCACTAGCTGACTTCAATCATTCAACTACCAAGCCATTCTAAAACTCTGTTTTCAACTGGATATTCAGACTTAGATTTAACAAAATTTGTCTCTGTATTTCATATTCATGTGTAGAAGTTTGTATAAGAGTGTGAAGTGGGTGGGCTGTGGTGTGCTGGTGAGGGAACAGCAGGAAGGGGAGATAGCCAAGGAGCAAGACAACTGTTTCCAGGAACACTCTTTTTTCCCACAGTCAGATTCATTAGTTTTATTTTCTCATGCATTCTTGAATTACAGACATGTAAGTACTAGAGCAATGCAGTCAGAATATTCAGGAGGGAAAAGAAATGAAACTCACCACTGTGGAGGGATTTCCACAGGGACAAAATTCCGGTTGCACAGATGAACAAAAGCTGCTGCTGAGCTGCAGGCAGCCCCCAGGGCCGGGGACTCACAGGTGTCCTGTGTACACATGGTGTAGAAGGGCTCGGGGTCCACCTTAACACAAAGGGATTGTTTAGGGGAGCAGGGGGCACCTGCACGTGGACCCAAAGGTTTGATGTGGGTCTCCCTCCCCCCGCCTCATTGCGGCCATTCATAAACCTTTATTCTCTTCCTAACATTGAGGGGGTTATTTCTATTTCCAGATTCTAGACCTGTATTCTAAAGAGTGGTGCACTCATGCCTCTACTCTGTGGATGTCAAGGACCTCAATTTATATGTATGGTGATAATAACAGCTTTTTTTTTCTGTCTGGTTTGCTGTTCTGATTATTCTAAAGTAATCCGTGACTAAACTTCTACATCCTTGCAGGGGTTATGTGTCCTCCTTTGAAGAATGACACTTGGGTGATTCAGACAGTCCTTCACGGCTGAAGTTCTACTTACAACTTTGAAGCAGTTCCTAAGAAGTGAATGTGGTTCTTCAAAAAACACTTTGCAGATGTTTTGCTTGCCTGTAATTGGACATGACTTCTCTTTCTTCGGTACAAGACTGCACTTGTTCACCTGGGAAAGCAGAATTACTGAAGTTGGGGGACTTTGTTTTTTAATACATCGAGTTAGGATGAATTCTTCAGATTTCCAGTGTGAGCTGGTTTAAAGATATGGGCAGCTCAGTACACTGCTCTAATATTTATTGTTCAATAATATTGAGATGTAACTAATCTTACAGATTAGACATTGTTTCCTTTTTCTCTTGATTCTGTTATTCACTGACACAGCAGGCAGTTGGCTAGTTCTCTTGTTATGTAGATCTGACAGGTCAAAGATGTGCTTTTACTAGATCTTTTTAATGCAGAAAAAAAAAATCTTGCTATCCTTACTGGGTTATTCATAGATAAAGAAGTCTTTAAAAAAAAATCCAAATCAAACAAAAAGCCCCAAACAAACAAAAAACGAAAACAAACAAACAAAAAAAAACTCAAACCAACCAAATAGTTCTTTAAGTGAGTGTAAATTCTAGTGATTTTTAGTTATTAAGAAAAATGAACAGGCAGTTTAATCTGTGATAACCCTCATCCTGCAGGAGCCAGACCTTGCAGGCTCCTCCTTTGCCTCCTGCTGTTGTGCAGCCCTGGCCTTGTGGCACTGGAACTTTGCTGGAAGGAAGGTCAGTCTCCTGGGAGAGAGTTGCCAGCCAGAACTCACGGTTCAGGGCGAGGTGACTCCAGCAGTGCAGTGACCAGTGCTTTTATCTCAGGCTTCAATACCTGGCCAGATTTAATCTGACTGTGCTTTCACTTTCTATATTACATAGAGTCGAGCTAAAACTTTTGGTCAGGAAGGATTTTTTCAAGCTCCATTTGACCAGCACAGCTGAGTCCACTACTGAGTACACACTGCCCTTTGTGCTCAGCACCCCTGGTGCCCTGCACAGAGAAGCCCTTGAGCTCCTTACCTGCCAGCTCTGTGTGAACTCTTGCACGTTGTCAGTGAAGGAACCATTAGGAAGCATCCATTCATTTCCAGCTTCATTATCATTGGTACCAAAAAGCCCAGCTGAGATACCTGGGATGGAATTGAAATGGGGTAAAATAGTAGTTGTCAGGAGTAGATGCAGGAAAGTTACAGAAGCTGTCTCTGAGCTCCAGTTATTTTTACAGGAGTGCTCAGCTCCAACATGAAAAAGAGAAGGTATGTCCAGAAAGCCATTCTGGGTTTGTCCCAGCCTGCATTGCCATCTCTTGTCTTAGCTGGTCATGTGTTTCTCCTGACCACATCAGGGCATCAGATCCATCCTCTGCTAATCTTGGGAGTGTGAGTTTTAGAATAGTGTGGGGCACATGAATAGGAATGCATTCCAAGTATACCAAAAACCCTGTAAGGTTTTAGGCCTCCCTCTCTAGTTGTCTTGCAGGTCTGACAAGCTAAGCCAGCTCTAAAGCAGTGATTCTCAACAAGGGTTTGGGGCTGGGCTGACTGCATTACATCTGTCTGCTTTATTACATTGAATCATCAGTAATCCATAATCACTTACTAACCACTGGAATGATTTGGCAATTACTGGGAATGCCTAGAGCCATTTCCAGTGTGCATAAATGAAGAGGGGAAAAACAAGTAAAAGATGACCCAGATGGTGGTACTACAGTTGATAATAATTTAGAGAGATAAAAAAATGACTAACAGCTGACAAAGGCTGTATAATTGGTACTCACCGTGGTGCCACCCAGCCAGAGTGACAGTACAGAGATCATACTGAAAGTCACAGGATAGAGAAACTCCTTTCTGATTAGATATTTCTATTTTGTTGGTTTCTCTCCTTGAATTAGTGGTGTTCTTTTCAAGTGATTTATCCAGTACTTGGCAGTTCTCTTCTGTAAAGGAGAACATCTTGGAGATCTGTTTTAAAATGAAAATGCAGTTTCAAATCTGTCACTGTTAAAGTTCAATAACAGGCAAGCTCAGATGGGACCAACTTAGCCCAGAATCAGGGGATAAGAAGGGAGTTGTGTTAAACTTCCAGAAGAGCAGACAGCACAAAGCCTCCAAGGCTACAGGCCCAGTTTGATCTCCAGACCTCTCTAACAGTACCATCCTCTGACATTATCTAAGAGAAATGCTGAAAATTTCCTTTAGTGTGCAGGGAGCAAAGAGGCAGCCCTTGCATTAAACTGGCTTTGTTTTGGAGAGGTATTTTCTGATTAAGAAGTGGTTACTTTAAAGCACTTGTCTGAGAGCTATTCTGTTCTGTGTTTTAAGCATTAATATTTTGAAAGCTTTTGTTGTTGTTGTTGGTTTAAGATAATTTCTGCTGTGAAAACAAAGAATGTTTGACTTGTTCCTCCTACCTTCAGTCTTGGGTGGATACTGATCACAGTCTGGTTCATCTCCACATACAGTGATCTTGAGTTACTGGTTTCCTCACTTAGTATTATAGTGAAAGCATTGTGGACAAAATCCTTGGCAAGGAGTACACTGCACTTTGATGCCAAATCATAAATTTTTCCATCAAAAGTCACAAGATGCTTGGTCCCCACTAACAGAGCATGATCTAGAGATTTCAGAAGAAACATTAGTGAGTTTCCCAAAGAGCAATGAGTGCTGTGCATACTGCAACACACAGCTTCTGGCTGGCATGCTCTTAAAATAATTTCTCAAGTTATTATTACATTGACATTACTACATTTACATTTTAGTTAGTTACACTGTAGTTATTCTGCAACAAAAATTTTACCAGAAACAAAGCAATTTAATGATTTATTTTTCATTATAGATTTGCCTGGGTGTCCTGAAACTTTGAGAAACATGAATTGGGATTCAGAGCTCATTTTGGTTTATTGTCCTGCTACTTGTAAACTTGCTTTTTGTAAGCACACACATATACCCTACATTCCATACATTCTTATGCAGAAAACAGCAAGAATATTAACTCTCTCCAGAAACTGCCCTTCCAAACCAGAGCAGCAAACAGAGCTGCAGTCCCTGCTGATATATCACTTAGATTATTTGGTCACTAGGACCGACTTTCACAGCCCTCTTGGTGCCTGTCAGTCCAGTGGGAGGAAACCATTAAAAATGGCTCTTTCTGGAAAAACCATTCTCTCTAAGGGACAGTTGGGATTGTTAATGCAGTTTTTTAGCATTTAGCAATGCTTTTACAGGCAATACTGTCTCTGAAGTTTTGGTAGGGCTGAGCTTTTCCATCCCAGAGTCAACAGAGGTGAGATGACCAGTTTCAACGCCTCCATGCCAGGACACAGCCGTGGGTATGACTGGCATTGAACCACAGTATCAACTCACAAGGGCATGTGGATAAGACAGATAAATAGCACCTGCTGATTTCTAGTTTCAAGAGTATGAAGTGTGAAGAGTTGGAAGATTTGCATGAATATGAAGCAGAGGAGTGTCACTTTATGCCAGCTTTGCCCAGAGTGTTGCTCTTTTACATACCACTACTGTCTTACAGGAAAGACTATATAAAGTTGATGGAAAATTATTAATTAGCAACCATCCATAGTAAAGTACTATTCCAAATATGATTTTTCAAATATAGCACCAAGTGGACCCAGTTACAAAACAAAGCAGCACGTTGAAAGGGCTTACATTCAAAGGGACTCTCCACCATCCTCCGTTTGAATCTATAATACTCCGCAAGGATGTTGATTTTGTAGAGGTCTTGCAGAGGCCTCATTATTTTCTCTCCAACGAGATAAGTAGGAACATTTGCCAGCTGTAGGGAGTGGTCTCCTTTGGGCAGTACTGGCAGTTTTATTGCCACGGAACAGTTCCTGTGGAATGCAAACAAAATGGGCAGGAGCCTTTATCTGCTCAACTGAGGACATGCTGTTGGTTTATTATAAGAAATGTGGAAGTGAAATATTCATAAGAACTGTAGTCTGGTTAGAACAGCCCCACACTGGCCAACAGCTGCACTGCCCAAGGCCATAAAAGGCCAGTTATCAGTTATTACTATTCTTTTGCCGCCCAGTAGCTCCTGTTGAAAGGCAGTTGGGTCTGACAGCCAACAGAAATGAACATTAGGGTGTCTTATGCCCAAAGCAGGAGGAGTTGGGTGTCTGTCCAGAACCCTCAGCCTGCAAACTGATAGGAAGACTAACTATGCACATATCCATTTAGAACAGCACCCAGCAGCAGGGATCTTGCAGGAACACCAGTTACCTGGCTGAAAAACTGTACAGGTTGAGCAAGGGCTTCCGGATCTTCCTCACAGCTCTGGAAAATGTGGCCTCTGCCCACCTGAACATCTGCTGTGTGGTCTGTTGGAGAATCAGAAGAGGAGATTACAAAACCGACTTCAGGATGGCTTCAGGGCAGGGCCAGTACTTGCTAAATCGACAGTCAGTTTTAAATGGACAGTCAGTGAAATAGCACTTAAGTCTCTCTTGCATTTGTCACTTGCCTGTCATTTAAAGGTTAATATCCAGAGGGCAGGCTCTACTCACAACAGCTACAAATGATGGACAGAAATATGTTCTTCCTAAATAACATTACTTAAAGTATACCAATACTTCACTGAGTTAATGCACTTCAGTAGCTTGCAAAGGATTGGTATCTTTGTTAATATAAATTGGCATGATATATTTTATGCTCCTCATTTCAACTAGAAGATCCCAAATCTGTACATTGTTTGCTGGAATCACAGTTCATCCTCTATGGAAGAAAAGTAAAATCTATGTGAATGACAGATGACTGCTGCTGTGCTTTCAACCAGAACTAGTGAAACAACCTCTCCTCTAGCTGGAAAAGTACTGCTTTCAAGGCAGGACACATACTGCAAGAACAGTAAGTTAGCTGTGCACAAGTTTGTTATGTGTAAAGATAACTGCACTATTTCCATAAACAAAATAGTTAATCATTTTTGTGTATCCATAGTTCAAAGCTGAGACTTAAATTTGTAGGCCTTGCCTTACAAACCACTAAAAATGGAGAACTGAGTTATACCAACCGTATCCAAGGCTGCTTTCACAACCTTTAATGCCAGCTGGATTGGTTCCATGAGCCATGCATCCTTTACAATATTGGGTAAAAAAGCCTGGATTTTCTTCATGTAGTCTTCTGTCTTCTCTTTCCAGACCTCATCCAGTGGCTTCAAGGTTACGTCATAGTAGGCATCCTTCAAAGTTGCTAGTGGCTCTGAAGCAAACACATTAATGAAACAAACCTTAGTTGGTGTGGTGCAAAGTGGCTGTTTGCTTGTTTGTTTGCTTGTTTCCTCACAACTTCCACCGTAAGGGAAGGGGAGACACACAAAACAGAAGAGGCAGCTTTGTTTTTGTGGGAGTTTGGGCACCTTGCACAGCTCTGTGTGTGGACACAGTGTTAGGGAAAACTGAAAGAGGCATTTAGCTCTAACCTTGAGCCCCTTATAAATACACTGCTGCTGTCCAAAAGATGTGAGGAGTGCTTTGCAATATGCCACCATCAGAGTGTACTGCACAAACTACATCTGCTTACTAACAGGACAGTTTGGTCAGAACTGATTTCAAACATGGTATGTCAACTAAATCCAACTTTTGCGTGGGAAGAGCTTAGAGGTAAGTGGCCCAAAGTGAGGTTTTACTCTTCTGAGAACTCAGAACTAAAACTCAAAGGTTTCAGGATGGGCCACAGTCCAGCTGAACAGTGAATTAGAGACTACTGGACAGGCTTGGAACAAACGGATCAAGTGAAATCCGATTAGTACAAGCATTCAAAACTCAAGGATGGATATGAACAGCCCTTTGGGAGGAAAGGCTTGCCAGGGAGTTGTTAGCAGAAATACTTCAGCTTAGGAATTAGGGCTCTGTTCTCATCTGAACTCGGCCTCCTGTGACGCAGAGAATGTCTCATCACTGATTTCATTAGAAAGGTGCTCACAGAGAGCTTACTTCGGGCTTATTGCATCAAGACTCCCACTCTGTACACTAAGAGCCAAGGTCAGCACTTTTTGCTGGATCAAAATAGAAACCTTTATGCTGTCAGCATATTTTATAGTTTGTAGTCAAGTTTGTTTTGCCCTGCACTGACATTGTCCTTATTCTCCTTGCTTTGCTCAGTTTTGCTTACTTTGTAATTCATTCTGCATTTGCTGGACAATGCCTTGAACTTTATCCAGGTAAAGCGGGACCTTGCTCCTCAGGATCTGCCCGATTCCGCTTTGCTTCCACGCCTGGGCGACAGCTCTGCCCCCGCTGAGCAGGAATCCTGCTGCCTTCTGCAAGGCTGTGGAAGGCCAGCCAGCTGCTTCAGACAGGAAACCAACTTGCTGCACCTACAGTGGTTCCCAAATAACAAGCAATATCAAAATACACACTGATCTCGTGCAAAGCTTTGACTCCATGGTGAGGCAATTCTGACTCCTCGGTGTGGGTGCAGAGATACAAGATCTCTACATGAAACATGCTCTTTGTCTGAGTTAGCTGTCAGCACAGGAGTAATCATTTAAATGTTTGAGCAAAACAAAACAACTGCAGGCAATGTAATGATTTTAATTAACACTGCCTGAACACCTCATGATGTTTTCACAGATATGTACAGATACTTACTGATCTCCTGAATCTCCGCATGTATCCATCAAACTTCTTTATCTTTTCCATCAGTTTGGCTTTCAAAAGACTCCCAATTTCATTAAGCTTGTACTGTGAGAAGATTAATAAAAACCTTGAATTTATGACTTAAACCCGCTTGTGCTGGGTCCAAATCACTCAAAGTTTGTACTAGTTTAAATGCCAGCAAATTTCCACAGTGGCCTCCCATTTCTCAGGGGGAATTACTTCTGCCTTATTCAATGGATAGACATGGGAACAGAAGGTCTAAGGATGAAAATTCAAAAAGCCTCCTCCAAGCAGAACTATGTGAAACCCTATTAGAAGTAAAAGCACAGTCAGGAATACTAATCTTAGTTTTGTAACCAACAGACTGAGCAGTTACTGCTGCTCTCACTTTATTTACTTACTCTCCTCAGAGGACTCACCCTTCAGGAGAGGGTCCCGTATTTTCTGTCTCTGGGTATGGCTGAACTTTTTAATTCTCACCATGGTAACTTTTCACATCAATGTGAAATTAACGTTATTATGAGTTTATAAAATTATATAATTTTCCCTGGCTACTCACCAAAACTCACACCTGAATCCTACGAGGAAGATGTTCCAGTAAATTAACGAAATTAAACAATATTCCGGGAAAACCACACCGCAGTTAACAGCCACTCAAGGGTCTCACCTCAGCCTTAAGAACTGGATCCCCGCATCCATGAGCCAGAAAACTCAAGCTTCCATTAGCAGCTGCTAGAGTCACTTGTCCCGTGTTTTCCTGCCTTTCTCCATTGATGCTGAGATAGGTGTTAATGGCAGCCATCTCCTGCCCATCAGAACAAGCACTGACTTCCATTCCTTCTTCCAAATCCCCTTAGGGAACAAAAAGACAGTGCTTCATTTACAGGAACAACACTGACAGACATTGTTTCAAAGCCAGCTTTTAATTACTACGTAGTAGGTGATCAATCAATGTCTGAGTGTGTTAGGTGTTTGTGGGGGGAAAAAAAAAAAAGAGATAAACAGGAGACAATTAGATCAGTGTTTGATCTTTCTCTTCTGTGTGGCTTGTGAACGACTTACAACTACATACGGCAAATGAAGCACTGGATTGACATAAATCTAAATAGTTCTCTCAGTCACAGTGATTTACAAGCTTCTTTTCTACTTTAGCCTTCACTGTCTTGATGCTTCAAAACTGCTCAGCCTGGCAGGACCACCCATCACACACCGAAGGCGCTTCTACCCAAGCACTGATGAGCATAAACAGAAACGATTGGCAAAGGCACGGAGAGTCTGGGTGGAGGGAGTTGAGTTGAACCACTGTTACAAACTTCTGACTTCAGTGATTCACAAACTAATGATCCTAATCTCAAATACATCACAGCACTTACAAGTGAGGCCATGAACCTGTGAAAAATTCCTCTGCAGAAGTGTGGAAAGGTAAATCCATAACTGAAACCAAAACGTCTCCCAAACTGACCTTTGTGTAACAAGTTTTAAGTTTCAGCTTTTTTTTAATCTGAAAGACCTTGAATCACCATGAACTGACCCAGCTTGGCACTAGAGACACAGCCTTTCATCCAGCTTCTTCACAGCAATGACAGCTGGGAATCATAGAATAGCTCCAGTTGGAAGGGACCCATAAGGATCACCAAGTGCAGCTCCCTGCTCCTTGTAGGATTACCTAAAACTAAATCATGTGGCTACAAGCATTGTCAGTGAAGGTACATACCTTTCAGATACCCCAGGTAGTACTGAATGCACTCCTTTCCCTTTGAAGCTGCCACTTTTACTTTCTCTTTCTGATCAATATTCCCCTCCACCAGGATTTGGCTCTGGACAGATGAGGAAGTAGCAGTTCCTGCCAGGCCTAGCCAAATATCTTCAAAGGCTCTTAACTGCAGCCATAAAGGAAAAACGTTTATTCAAAGCCACAACACAGAATTAAATGATTGTTAAGAGATGATGCTCGAATATCAGTGCTTCCCACAGAACAGTAAGTGGTGAGGGAAGTGTTTCCCGATGTTTGTGCACTGTGTAGGAGTTACACTAAGAGAGGCACAAGCATCAGTGACTGGCTCAGGAGCTGAATGACTGGATAGCACAAGGCTCCTGGACAAAATTTTACTGGTAGCAATGAAAGCCTGAGTACCCACATTCCTGCTACTGAAGAGTTTGGTTGGTGCTGAACACGTTACTTTTCTACCTCACTCCGTTGCCACCACCAGCTTTCTCCACCCTCTTTATTTCACAGGAAATTAAAAGCAAATGTGAAACAGAGGGTAAAAGGAAGAGATTTGCCTCAGATGAGCATCATATGAGCCTTTCTGTGCCTTTTTAAAGCCAGTTCTTTTTTCTGGTAAATGATGCTTTTTGTAAGCATTGTATTTTGTTTCCCTCTTTTTTTTTTTTTTTTTGATAAGGTGAAAAAAACAAGCCTCACCAAACACATCAGTCATGCTGAAGGTGAGCTGTAAAACCCCACAGCTTCTTAAAACTGATATACTCCCTTGATACATACTTATTATATTTGGGCTTGAGCTCTGCAGATAACTAATGTTGGTGCCTTCCTCCCTCGATCACACCACATGGACATGATGTAACTGCTCCTTTATAAACAGAACTAGAGAAACCAGGAATATTTTAAGCTGCCTGCTGTTTTACAGTCACTGGCTGCACCTGATCTGTTTGGGAGATAGATGGCAGCAGGCCTTTAAAAACCAAAACCCAGTGCCACTAAAATAAAATAAAAACTCACATCAATTTCCATAGAATAGTTCTTCACATCAGCAGTGCTCTGGTTCTTTATGGATACTCCAATCAACCCCCCATCTGTCCTGTGATCGCCAAGGTGGAATCTGCCCTCTGACTGCAAAATGATGTTATCTTTGTTGAGCTGGTGTTTTCCAGATAAAACAATTACCTAAGTATGCACAAAAAAAAGGGTGTTAAAGCTTAATTCTTCCAAAGATGGGCTCTGCATAGAGTAGTAGGAAGTTGTACAATGGTAGCATTCTCCTGGAATTTACACAATGAAGAGATGAACAAAACTTGTAGTTTCAGAAACCAGCACATCTTCCTCCTCACACTGTCTCACTTTGTTACATCTTCAGTTTCTGTTGTATAAAAAAATACATTCAGTGATTGCAGCCTAAGACCACAGGAACAGTTAGAAACTATATTTTGTTAAAACATCCACTTTTTTTGCTCCTGTGCTTCTCAGCAACTCTGGCTAGGCATTTTGATAAAGTTGGGGGTGTGTGGGAGGCGAGGTGAATATTTGTCCTGGGTTTGACTGGGATAGAGTTAATTTCTCCTCAGTAGCTGGTGCAGTGCTGTGTTTTGGATTCAGAATGAGAATAATATCAATAGCAAAACCCAAAACATCAGTATGTTAAGTCCTGTTTATCCTAAGTCAAGGACTTCTTTTTTTTCTTTTTTTTTTTTCTTGGTCTGCAAGTGAGGAAGTGCACAAAAGAAACTGGGAGAGGGCACAGCTGGGAGAGGTGACCTGAAATGACCAAAGGGATATTCCACACCACAGAATATCATGCCCAGTATATAAACTGTGGGAGTTACCTGGAAGGGGCTGATCTGGGTTTAGGAAGGGGGGTCTGGCATCAGCAAGCAGGTGGTGAGCAACTGCACTGTGCATCACCGGGTTGGGTTTTTTTTTCCTTTCCCTTTTTATTATCATTATTATTATTTACCATTATTATTGTATTTTACTTTGTTTTCAATTATTAAACTGTTTTTATCTCAACCTACAAGTTTTACTTTGATTCTCCTCCCCATTCTACGGGGCTGGTGGGGGGAGAGAGAGGGGTTGAGAGAGCAGCTGCTTGGTGCTTAATTTCTAGCATGATGCCTTTGAAAAAAAAGGATCTAAAAGAATACAGAGGCATCTGATTTTGAAGTGACATACATATACATTCTTTGCATTATAAACAGGCTCTATCACACCTTAGTCTTGGAAGAAGTTTTCACAGGCATCAAAATTTGGCTTCTGTTTCCCATTGCTAACAGAACATGACCTACTGGAAACTGGGACGTGTTTTAGCCACTGGGAACTGAAAACATGTATGTAAATGAAGACATTTTCTGCAAGTTCCAGTTTTTGTGTTTGCTGTGAGTATCTATAGGCAACTCAGAGGTCCAGTGTGCACCTAAGGAAGATCATGGATCGGTCTTCATTTTATGTGTTTAATAGAAATAAAGGTTACATTAAAGTTCAAAAATCCATCACTACCAGCAAAGCAATCATAAAAACCAGTAAACATTTACCCACAGGGGAAGGAAAGCACTTTTATTGCTCTCTAGTTTCCTTATGAGCCTGTTTTGATATTCTCCAGAAACATGAAATTAAAAGACCTTTGAAAGAGGAATAGGAGAGAAAGAACATGGAGGAAGTGGGAATCTTTACACCCACAGCAGAGCCTATAGAATATACTACAGTGGCAAACAGAAACTTTCTGCCTCAGCCCATCAAAAGACACTGTTTATTTATTTAGGTCACAGAAGTATGGCAATTCTCATGAAGAGTTGCAGCTGAGGAAAACTGAGTCTCCAAAACAGTAATTACATTTAAAGTGAAGTAGGTTCAGTATGTTTATCTGAGACTTACATTTCGAAGGTCACAGAGCTCAAAGCTTGTGTAATGATCCAGGGAAGAGCAGTAGTTTGTTTCTATTTTACCCAGAATCTTCTGTTTGGTGCATGGGGTCAGGAAAATATTTTCTAGGACAGCTTCTAACTGGAATTTATCACGATACAAGAATTGATTTCTCTGCAATGAACCAGGAAAACAAAGTTAAAATACGACAACAGGATCTTAGACACTCCTGGGTGCCCACTCACCCTGTCCCTGTGCTGGCTTTTGTTATTCTAGTAGCTTCAGGGTTTTAATGTAACATTTTTGAAACATAACATTTCCACTTGACAGTGTTTTAGATCATCAGCCTTGTTTCTGGTTCCTGTCCTTCAGAATTAACTCTAAAGTTTTGCAAATTTAGAGCGCAAGTGAGGCTTCTAGTTGGTAAAAACTCTTTCTTTCTTTAATATGCTACCTTTATCTTCCTATGTAGAGAAATATGTAAAAGATAGAGTCAAATATTGATATTTCACAGAAAATTAGACTCTACAGAAGTTTTCTTAAAATCCATGCAACATTATGCCTAAAACCGAAATAATTTCTCATCTATTAAGAACAGCTTTCATAAAAATGGTGAGTTAACAGATACAACTGCCTTCTCTTACCTCATATGTTAAATTGTGTTTGATTTTCTTGTCATCCCAGTTCAGATCTAGATATTCATTAAACAGTATTGATTTTTGCTCTAGAGACCCACATGCATGCAGGTGTTCCATACTTAATATTCTCTGAAGCTGGAAGAGAGGAAAAAATTGACACACGTAATTAATTAAAAAATAAATATGTTCAGTATATCCTAGGGCAGTACATTTCCTGGGCAAAAATACACCCCTGTGAGGACCCCTGAATGGTCTATATCCATAAAACACTGCTTCAACCTCTGCCAGGAAACCTGAGGGGTTGACAATTCTGTCCTGAGGGAAAGCTGCAGCCCCAGTAAAACCACATCTGGCAACTTGAAACTAAATTCTTCAGAGGGTTCATTTTTCTCCCTCTGAGACACGAAAAGATTGGTTTCAAGTAAAAGGCTTTCACATGGTAACAAGTGCAGAAGAAAAAAACCAAACCCCTCCCCCTTCTGAGAGTCTACCTGGCCTGCAGAGAGTGTCACACAGCCCGCCCAGGCGGTGATGTCCACCTTGGATTTATCTTCCAGGGTCAGTCGGATGTCAGCAGGCTGCCCAGCATTCCCTGCCAGCTGCAGCTGAAACCAAAGAGAAGGATTTGTCCAGCAGCAAGACTTGAACCAGCAGAAGAGCTGCAGGGTGATCCAGCAGAATGATCCCCATCCAGTGGAGAGAAACAGAACCACAATGAAAACTGCAACAGGCTTTGTGGCCTGGAGACGAGCACGGGGAAACTGTACTGCTACAACCGAGGCAGTGCAAGTATTTTGTTGCCTTCTCTGGAAGCTGCCTGGCGTCTGTCATGTACAGCAAATAATGACACAACTGGAATAATGACCCTACAAGAGAATTTATTCCTCTGAATAAGATTCTTGAGAGGTACTGAGTACTAAGTGCAAACCAAGAGCACCAAAGGGTTCCAGATGAACAAACAACACTGCACAGTTGGCACAGCTCATTATTGAGCAGAAAATCTTCAGCCTCAGCAACTGGAGTGTCCTGATTCATGAAGTGCATTTTCAGACAGAAAACACAACTACAGTCTCTAATCTTGAAGGATGATTTGTGGAGTTCCTCCTCCTCTTTTTCCCTACATATGCTTTGCAAGTGCACTCATAATTGTATTTTAAAGCCTTTCTAGTCTTGCGTATTTTTTCACACTTGTGTGGCAATTTTCCATACAGTCCAAAAATTTATGTTTGCTCCACAGGGGTATCAAAGGTTTCTGGTTAGGTTGTGTTCTGGGGTTTTTTTGGGGGGGGAGGTTGTTTGTTTGAAGGTTTTGGAGTATGTGCACTAGAAATTTGTTCATTTCTTTGTGGAGAAAATTTGTCTGATTTTCACTGCTAGGCTGCCCCCTGTGCACTTCTGGCTTCCTACCATCCAAAATGGGTCAATGCTAAAAGTGCAAGACTGTCAGTCAAAAGCAGTTATGCTTAGAAAAGGAAACAATGCTGGTGGTTTGGACACAAGGACAAAATAGCCCTTGGTTCTGTTTACATTTTTCAGGGTGACATCTGGTTCTGCCATTCTCAGAGATGAAAGGCACACTAACAGTAAATACAGCATGACAGGTGTGTATTTTGCAGCCCTTTCTCATGCTCTCACCTGCTGGTTGTACTTTCTGCCCCTTCTTTCTGACAGGGAATGGATCTCCAGTTGCTTCAGGGTGTAATTAAATGGGTGGGCAACAGTGGCTCTGTAGTTTGTCCGGTGTCTTCCAAACTTCAGAGAAGATGACACTGATATCTGATCCATAGCAACAGATGGAAAAGGAACTTGTGAAATAAAACAGCTCTCACATACTGACCTCAAACACACACCCAAGTAAGATTTCCCTGTACCTTTTCCTCAGATGAATTATGTGCCTAATAAAGTCCTTTTTGAAGTAGCGAGGCAAATTAATGTTCAAATGAGGACATTCCTGCTACTTGAATTACATGGCACAGGTGAAAGGAAAACTATTCTCTGTGTTTTACTAAAACCATGAACAATGCTTAAGTTTGTTGAGGCTTAATTTTTGTCTTATCTTTAGGCACTGCAGGCTGCACTGCCACAGAGTGCTTAGAAAGAGCTTGCACAGTCAAAGCACATCAAAGCACAAGAAAAAACATCCTATATGTTAATGTGTCTTACATATTGCCTTTTACCTTTCCATTTTCAGAAAACAATGTAGTACTCAGCCAAGGTGCTGCATTTCAGACACACATACACAGATAGCACAGTTAGCAGCAAGTCAGTAAGTGTCCCCATTTAACCACACCTGGCAATCAACCTACCCAAAGTTCTCCTCATTCTGTCATTTTTACTATTTATATTTTTTAAAAATAATGCTGACTTAATTTAAGAAGACAAAGACTGGTTTCAACTGTGCCATATTTGTCATTCTCACTACTTAGAGGAGTGAAATACAGAAAAGCTTTGACTACATCAGTAAAGCTGAAAACACCAAGTACAGGTATGTGTCACACTTCTGTGTGGGCAAACACAATATTATACCCATGCAACAGGTTGTCCATCCTTTTCAGCCTCACAGTAATGCTCACTCTTACTCATTTGTCTTAAATTCTATTTTTTTTCCCCTACACTGCTTTAAACATGATGTTTGTACTATTCTTTCCACTCACTCTCAAAGGCCTTTACCCACTGCTTTGAAGCACATCCATCTCACTGCCTTGGGTTAAGGAGTAAGTTGTGGGTTTACTGCAAATAAAAAAATTAGCATGGCCTGAAAATGTTTCCAACAAGAATATCAGCTGCTCATCTTCCATAGCTGGAGCCTTTTTGCCTCCTACTTGAATTCCCTGGCTTGTTTAATAAGTTTAAAAAAAAGGAAAAAAAAAAAAAAGAAAAACAGAAAAAAAGAAAAGAAGAACCATTTGATATTCCTGCTATTTATTTGCTCTGGGCTGCTGTACCTGGTCCTCCTCATTCCAAATGACAGTAAGATCATCCCGGTGATGACGTGCCGAATGTTTCACATATAAGTTGACCCTGGCATGCCGTGGGAAAGGGATGGAGAGAGGATGGAAAAGTTCCACTACAAGGAAAAAAAGCAAACAAGTAAGATTTCCTCAGCACAAATCATGAGTCTTCATTTTCTGATAAAGAAAAAGGCATTAGGACATATTCTCTCACTGACAGCAGGGCAGCATTTGGTTCCCAGAGAAGCAATGTCTTTGCTTATACACACACATCACCTTCCCAACAGCCCAAATGACTGCAGTGTGCTGATTTCTGCTCAATGTGAGGAAATGCAAGTGAAAACAGGAGCCCTCTATCTACCAGCTAAACAGCAGTTACCTGCAATAATCAAAAGATTGATAGTTACACCCAAAGCAGCAAGAACAGCCAGGAAAATAACCTGTTTGAAGCTGAGAATGCCTTACAGTGGAAGAGGAACATCTCAAATAAGTAAATGCAGTTTTTTTCTTCATTTTCAGATAACAAAGCAGTGGCCAGTGTGATCAGTGTTCCCTTCAGTACCCAGTGCAGGAGAGTACCAGAATCTACTACAGTTTTAAAAAGTTTATATAAGTTTTATGTTCCACATCCACAAAGCAGAAATAGTATTCTGAAGTGGATGTTTCTAACAGCCAGATTACAATGAATTTAAAGCATATAAGATCCTAGAAGGCCTATATTGGAACCAGGATTGAAACCATTTGGACATGCATTTTGAATATGCATTTTGAAATCAGATTTATGTAGTTTGTTTTATTTTATAGTTTGCTATCAACACTGGCAAAAGACTTAAGAAACCTACCCTGAATGTTGTGACCTCCAGGCAACTTTGGGAAGAGTCCAGTGTAAGTGCCTGTTACCTTTGTCTCTTTGCCATCCCACAGAGCAATGTGCCTCAACATACGTGTCCTGTTGCCCTTTTGGTAAACAGTCATAAACACAAGCTGCCTTGGAACCATTTTTAACTACAAATGAAAGAGAGGAAACATTAAATCCCAATTTCTCTGAGAAGTTAAAAATCTAAGTGTGATTTTGGTACTATAAAGTCCTGTAGGATCTAGTTTTAGGAATGTGTTTTTAAAAGTACAATGATACTCTAAGCCCATTGCTCTTGTATAAGCAGCTATTCATTTCTACTTGTCTTCACTTCTACAGTAAGTCATCTTTTCACACAATGGAACAACTGAGTGTCCCCTTTACAATAGTCTTTGCTTAATATACAATTTCATTTTCTCTTTCCTCTCACAGTATAATTCTTACAACATCCAGAGTTCCACTCTTACAGAATAAATCCAGAAGATAATACAAACAACAATATCTATTTGTGACATCTTTTCTTCCTAATTTAGAAAAAGAAATGTGTGCTATCTGCATAATAAAAATTGGCAATTGGTCAGTTTGTAATATATTATTCTTCTGATTTCCTACAAATCCTATATATGTGCTCCATCTATAGGAGCAAACAAATATAAAATCAAGCAGTGGTTTATACCATTGGACTCACAACTAATCTGCAGTCAAATGTTTGCTCAATCTGCTGGAGAAATCAAGGGCAAAACACATCACACAGCAGGAGCTGTATTTGACCCTCAGTGTTTGGCAACCACATCCTGAGCACCCCCCTCTAAAACGGGGCAGTCACAGCCTGGGTTTGCCCTCAGAGTCAATGATACCAACCTGGGACATGGTCTGTACTATTTCAAGGGCATTGGTGTAGCTGGTTCCAGTCAAAGTGAGCTTCGCTGAAACATTAAAATCCCTTTTTTCCATCCTGAGGCAGAGTTTGCCTTTTGCTTCACTCATATCATAATTTACCTTTTCAAGTTCCCATTAAATTTAAAAAAAAAAAAAAAGGAAAAAGAAAGAAGAAAGATTGTTAGAATCTCTGAAAACGTGAACATCCTGGACAACAACAAAGATGTCAGAGTTACTAGTACTAGACATAATGCAGCTTGACTCCCAAAATATTAGACAAGTCTAATTTGCAGTGATGTATGTGATAGATAACTTGCAGATAGTTACCTTAGAAGACACTTCTGCTGCACTGGGGAAGTACTGTAGAAAGAAGGGATGAGTCTGGAGTGCTTTTATATTCAACTCTTCACTAAAGGGAAGAAATGTACTTTTGTTCAACAATATTTCAGGAAGTACACTCTCACTGGCAGCACAAGTTCATCTGAGTTACTCCAAGTCCGCCACAGGTTTCAGAGTTACAAATGGCAGTACCTTCCACTGAACACTCACCCAGCTCCCAGTTTTTGATGCATTCACACAAAGGTAGAGGAGACCAAAGAGCACCTTTGACCTCAGTGAAAAATCTGTGTGCATCCCAGGGGCAGAATGTAGCCCACTGAAACAGAAATTACTTTGCCGTAGAAAATACATCAGCTTTTTAAAAATTGTATAGGTACTTTGGAATCTGACTTTGCAAGCACTGTCATAGTTTACAAACTTAGAACTATTACAGAATTTAAAAGAACTTAAAAGACTTTTCAATGCAAAGGTCTTTTGCTAGAAAATTAAGAAATATCTGAAATACCCCAAGGCTGAAAATATCACACCTCTTAAACATCCTCAAAATCCTACAGTTTTGTGCAGATACAGCCATACTGATTCCAACTTAGAAAACCAAGTCTCTGTAATTTTACAAGTTTCAATGGTGCCAAAATGATTTAATAAGATTTAAAGAGTTATGTCGACTTAAGGTATATTTTTAAGTACTTGTCTGGCTCAAATCTAGAGTTTTATGGATTATTTCACTGTCTGCTACCTCGATGCTGTGGGGGCAGGCAAAGAGAGAGGCATACCCCAAGCTGTGAGGAATCTGCAGCCCTTCATAAACTTCCTGAGGTGAACAGACTGTTTGATGTGACTACTCACTTTATGCAAGATTTGTTATCCATTTCAACAGTGACTTGGTGATTCAAACAGTAACTTTTTTCCATGGAATCACAGTGGCCTAGTGATATTTTTACAGTGCTCAGAATGACTCTTTTACCCTTGCTGGTCTGTTTTCCTACTGATGGCAAAGGAGAAGTTCGTGTTTTGTTCATAGGTCAGCCTCAGAGCTCCTGCAGTTTCATTTTCAGTCAGGACTTCCTGAATTGTCACCTGTGGAGGGGGAAAATAAACAAATCACATGCCATAACCTCTACCCCAACATTTCACGTCAACTGAGCACGACTTCTTAACTCACTTAAAATCATCATCTTGACTGAAGTTTATCTTCCAGACAGGCCTTCTAGATGCTTTCTGGATGTAAACCAAAAACCTCAAGAGATGTTTTCCATTTCTTCTGTGTGTTTCCATAGCTACTAATTTGCATTACTGATAAATATTAGCCTTACTTTCTATGTACCCTTACCTGATTTAAGTCTAAAGCCACTGTTTCTTGTTCATATCTCCCCCAGTCTCCTTTTTCATATACTGTAAAGAATTATTTTTTTTTTTTAAGAAACAGATTGGGCTCCATAAGTCTTTTACTCCAGGGTATTTTCTTCCTCTCACAGCTCCTGGATCATCTACAGCTTTATCCTGAAAATGCTATGGAATCCCTCTGGGGAAAATCGGGACTCTTAAATATCAATACGTTTGCCAAAGCCTGTGGGAACAATAATTTCTGAAGTCCCATGATTACAGTCATACCTCATACGTGAATAAAGCACCTCAAGAATTGCTATCTCTGCTCTTCTTTTCTTCACTGAAACATTTGGAAGATAAAAGACACTTCACTAAATATTAAGGGGGAAGAAGCAGGGGATATATCTAATACTTTTCAATAAAATGTTGGCATTAAATATTCACTTGAAACACTGGCACTTAGTATGAAGGTTTAATATTGGTCTAATATTTATGTTCAGGAAAGACAACCTTTAATCTTGTATCCTAACTATGTATCTTGCTATTTGAAGTGGAGGTTAGCTAATCAGCTAGGAGGTGACAGTAAATGCATGCCTTCCTGAAATGATGAACCCTGAAACTGGGAATTTCAGGTACCTGACCAGTTTCCTTGGAGACAGACCACTAGCTGTGTACTTAAGTTAAAGGAGGATTCAGATAAACTGGGCTAGTCACTTCTCATCTGCACTTGTATAAACCTGGAGTAATTTCACTGAGGCTCCTGGAGGTGCTCTGGATTCATGTAAGTGTAACTCAAATGACAGCTCTAATCAAAGCACAGCAAAAGATCTACGGTGGATTACCTTAAGAAAGAAGGGAAGTCCCAGATGATGGAGAAGTGATATGGAATGCTTCACCTCTGCCATGAACACAAATACACCGAAGAGTTGAAAGTCTGTGCCAACATCCACAGTCACAGTTATATCTTTCTCATCATATTGGATTTCACAGACAGTCTTGGCTTTGTTTTCTATATAGAAAGAACAGGACAGTGCCAATTTGAGTGGCATGTTTTTGAGGAATTTCAGTTCTGCCTGGATAAAATCAATCCAGCCAGCATTTGGGTCATCATTTGGGATTACAAGAGCTTTGGCCTGTGATTGGAGGAGTGTAGAGTTTTTTTGGATGTCCTTGAGCCTTGACCTTACAAAGTCTTGAGGTGACAGAGCTTGTGTACCCAGGATAAGGTAAAGTGTCAGGTCAGTTCCCATCAGTCATGTTTTTTTGCAGGAGAGCTGACTAGTTCCCACAGCCAACTGCAGCCTGTGGCAAGTAGCAGCCACTCCCAGAGAAGAGCTCTAAACTGTTCTGACCTCTAGTGACTCCTCTGGTTCCAGCTACAGCAACCCAACACTGCTCAAACAGCATGACCTGAAGGCCCTTTCCCCACTTTCCTACAAGCTTTTCATTTTCGAAAAAGACAAATACAGACTCCTGCAAGATAAAAGTGAGATGAGAGATGTGAAACCCCCAAACCCTTCATGGAGAAGACAAAATCACACAGACCACAATGTAAATCTGCATTGAGTGATATGCAGAGAGGATTAATGCCAAGCCAAGTTTTCAGAGGAGACTGGCTTCATCAGAGTGGGTGTGTCTCCCCTCCACAGTTCAGACAACAAAAGCCACTTAGAACTATTTCAAAGACTACTTTAAACTACAGTGGAATTCACATTTTTTTGCACAGTATAACAAGTTTTTTTTGTGTGATATTGGATCTTATTTTATGGAGGTAAATATCTCAGGGATAACCTGTTTTACCAGGTGTTGTACCACATGAGATCTTCCCTGGAGCTAAAAAAACATGTAATGTAACTAATCACAGATGCAGTTTCAGAATGACAATTTCACTTACAAAGAAGAGAAAACCTCTTTTTAGGTCTTAGTCAGTTTGCACCTGTTGAAGGAACAGTTGAAACATCCTCAGAGAGCTATTATAGAACAAAAAACCTGCCAGGGATGGCAGGTACCTACCTGATTCCTGTAAGTTGAGAATCAAGTTGATTGCCTTAGGATAACCAGCTGCCTGGAGTACCTCACTGCTGTGTACACTTTGGCAGAAGATATCCACTTGGTGACCAACATAATAGGAGTTTATTATGTATGTGATTGATGTTTCTCCAGCTGCAATATGTACATATCTTTCTTGAGTAGTGTTTCTCCCTTGAAAAACCACATCTACCTAAAAAATGACACGTAGACATAAGTTCTCCAAACAACATTTAAATACTATTTAATTTTAAAACAGGAGACTAATGGAAGTGAAAGGGAATTCTCTCTAGTCTATACTTATGTTAAAAATCTATCCACTAACAAAACATATCTTAGCCTTTCATTACTCATCTGTGACTTTCCAGTACAAAGGCCATTCGACTGAATGAATTTCAAGGCACGTCAGCCTCATTGATCCGTGTCAAATTCTCATTAGGATCTCTTTTATCCCACAAACTCATGACTCCCTTTATATAAAGGATACTTGATCCATGCCTACTGACAATATTTACTAGATAATAGGTGCTCCAATACTTCCCTGAAAGTAACACCCAAAGAAGCTCTTCTTTAAGTATAAAATTCCCTTTAAAGAGCATAGGAGCAATATTCCAGTCCCCTGTGCAAGGTAATGAAACTAGTCTCCTGTAGAGTTACAGTATCAACAATACCCTCTGTACTGACACTGATCAGAATGAAGTACTCTGGTTCAGAAAGCAATCAGTAAGAAATTTGCTTTTTCAGTAGGTCAGGTTTTAGCTGTCCATAGTTTTTAAATATCAGAAAATCTCAGCTTCCATCCTGTACCTCACAAAATGGTAGTTTTCATTCAAACCATGGGCTACTACATCATAATAAAGGATAATAATTGTAAAAAAAAAAAAAAGCCAAACCAAAACTACCTGTAAAGATGGTGGGACTCTGGCTTGTAGCAGCCATGGCAAAGTGTGATGGAAATTCCCTGTTATGTTGGTACTTGTTTCAAACTCCTGGATTTGTCCTTCAAGCACTGTTAGGTGAGTACCATAAAGCACTTTCATACTAAAGCTCTTGGTGACTTCCAGGTTCAAGATAGCCTGTGTGCAACAAAGGTAAATTGTGAAAAGAGAGTTTAGTAAAAGTTAAAGCTCCTGTTGGTCAGGGTTCTTTCTTTAGCTGAGGCAGTGTCATCTCAAACGTGTCAAAAAATTCATCTTGTCTAATTTTATAACACAACATAGTTACAGATGTCCCTTTTATTTTTAAATTCAGCATTTTAACATGTATTCTCCAGTATGGCCATGCCTTAATGCTATTCAAGCAGTTACATGATTAATAAAGAGTAAGTGTTGTGTTGCAGGCTTGTGTTTCTCAGATAAAGAAACATGCCAGGTAATCAGAGCCTGGGAAGAAAATACCATTTGGAATGTAAACAGTGCAATCCCACCAGAACTCACCTCTGCCCAGTCTGTAGAAGGGACAGAGGAGGCACAGGAGCTGAACTGCACTGCCCTCCTCAGGCAAGGCAGGCTGCCAGCCCAGCCGGGCTTGGGCTGCTCACACATGGGAGCCAACCTCCAGTCTCTCAGTCTCATGGAAAGTTCTGGTCTAGCAAGGCATTATCCCAACCCCTCAGGAGCAAGCTGAGCTTCTGGACTCTCCTCAAGAACAAACAAAATGAGCAGCCAGACTTCCCTCTTCACCTAAAGAGCAAACATGTAAAATCCCATCTGCACCTGCTGTCCTTTGCCATCTCGCTTTTACAGCTGCTGCTTCCATCAGGGCATCATTCCAGGCTGGATTTGTGTCTCCCTTGCCATTGCCTGGTAACTTACCTGCAGCTCAATCCTGTCTTTTATTTGCAAAGTCTTCAGCACCTCTAAGTTATGAGTGAGTTTGTAGTTAAGAGACACAACATCCAACTTCTGGACGAAGTTCAGTTCTTCTGTAATCTGTTCAGTCCAAGTAAATATGACAAAAGTTAACTGTGGCACATCTCTGATATTGAGACTTCTCTGATTAATTATAATTATTGAACACATTAGAGTAAAACTATGAAAATGAGGAAAACTTTACAGTGAAGAATTGTACTGTAAAAGGGACTGAGCTGCACCAAGTGAAGATAATGGATAAGAAAGGTTTGATACAATTTGCCAGTGGGAATCATGGATCATTGCTGCTGTCATATTTGTTTGTAGGAGTGACTGCACAGAAAGAATGGTTGGAAGGTACTGCCTTTATTTAATTAAGGTCTTTAAAATTAAACCAGCCCCTGCAGGGTATTCCTAAAGGGGCTTCATGCACAGCTATCTCAAATGGAGAAACAATATTTACCAAATCAGTTAGCTCACTTTGACCTCTATTTCACATCTCACTAACATGGAAGAGACACTTACTTGCTTGCTGTTCACACAGAAATGAATAAATCTTTTATAGAAGTCACTGTTTTTTTCTGATATCACATCAATTAACATCTTCATAGGAATGCCAATGTCAGCAGCTCCTGGAATGTTGTGGGTTAGCACTGCATCCAGCTCTTGCCTTTCCTGTTAGTATTTCACAGCATAGATAGCAAAGCACGTGTAAAACCCAAAGCTTGCTGCAACACAGAGCTCAAACAAGAAATTTAGCAAATCTCTCTGTCCTACATTTAATACTAATTAAAATAAATTGCATTGAACTTAGGGAAATTACACTTAGGGAAAGAGAAAAGAAACATCAAGCCTAGGTAGGATAAAAAAAAAACATATATATTTCAGCTGAGAGGAGAAAAGGTGTAAATGTTTCTCTGTGGTGGCAAAGAACTCCCACTAGCTATCTTGTTTCTCTGTGGCAGAAACATGCAGAAATTACCAGTTATGACAAGAAAGTGAATGATCACAAAGAATAAGACACTTGTGTGTGTTCTCTGCTCTCCTGCACTGATGACAAGAAAAGCTAAACCGTCAACAGTTTAACTGTCAACAGGAAAGCAAGAGATTCACAGCCTATCTTGTGTACTGTCTTACTTAAATAAACAGCAGTGTCTCAATTAATCCCTGCCTATTATTTTGCAATGTAAGTCACAGTGACACAAGGAACATCAAATAATACAATGCAAACAACAAAATTTACAAAGAGAATAACTAGGAAGTGATTCAGGAAGTGCCAGAGCCTGTATCCTATTATCCAGTATATTTGTTACTGCACATTACAGGTGCCAGATTTCCAAAGATTTTATTTTTTATTTTTATTCTGGCACTTTTTACTAAAAGCTGACTATTTGTTCCCAATAAAATAGTCTAGAGTACATTACTCAGTAATTTGTACATGCAGTCTGACAGCCTGCAGGATGCTTACATCAGTGACTTTGAGTATCAGGAGTCCTTGGAATTTACTTTCATCAACAGTGATCAATGTCTGTGAATCCAGGTTCATTTTATCCGTCAAAATGTAGCCTGACCCATCAATTTTCATTGGTGCTCCAAGGTCCTGTAAAAGAAAAAACAAATTTAAAATTCACCACTTTTACACTCACCCACATAAACACCTAACCCCTGAAACTTTTAGTTCCTAATAGTAGTTTTAATTGTACCTAGCTGTAAAATGAGGTATATCAGGCAGCATAGCCATAGGATGCCTCAGGAATCCTGACAGCTTTTTGTTATATTTTTTACAGTTTGTCTCTTTTAATTTTAATATGTCTGATGATTTTTGATAAATGAGCCAGAAAAAATAGAACACAGGACAACATGGCAGCTCTTCCTGCCTAACTGAAAACTCAGTTTTCTATGCTTAGAATTGCTCCAGTGGCCCAAAGCATCCATAATTCCAGTGAAACCAAAGAGTATACAAAGGTTTATTATGGCATATATTTTCAAACTATTTCAGAGTTTGGTTGTCAAACTGCTGAGAAACTGTTACTGCTGATAAAGCCCAAGAGAACTTTGAATACTTTTTATTTCTGAAGATTAAAGCCCTGCTTTAAAACCATGCTTAAAAAAAACCACATCAGAGTTAGTACAAGCAAGTCCATTAACTGTAGGTACTGATTAATAGGAAATCTGGCTTGCACCATATGAAAATAGAGTGAATAACTGGCTCTAAAGGTAAGATGTAACACTAAAAGAAGATAATGTTTTACTTTTCTCTGCTACCACTGAAACCCTTAGACTATTGTCTTTTAACTTTGGTAGGTACAAAGATCCTGCTTTAGATGCACAAATGCAGTAGTAAAGCAATAAATTCTTTTCAATACCTGAATTGTTTGGCATTTATTTTCTATAAGCATTTTCCACTGAAGCTTCTTTTCAGGGTCAAAGTCCCCATTCATTTGAAGCTCACAAGCACCCACTTTCATTCCTATTCCAAGGAAATATTTCAGCTGTTTCCGTGCAGTGATGGACAGCTCATTTTCCCTTGGGATTTCCTTCAGCTGGGGGAGGTCATGCCTGAACTGAATTTCCAGTGTAATCTTTGGCTTGCACTCTGCTCTCACTTCAAGATGGGCAGTTTTGCCTTCTGTTTCCAGGACTGAGAGAAGCTCTGCTTGGCACTTGTCTTTCTGAATGGATCCTGTGAGCCGTGACTGAGTTGGGAAACTGAGATCCTATTGAGATTTAAAAACGAGAATTCCTTTGGAATATGCATACACTTTAATACAGGTGTGTATTAAGGCTTTTTTCTTCTCCCTCAGCATACAAAAATGGAGATTTTATGTTACAGTATCAGAGACAAAACCTACAATCTCCATGCTGCCATTTTTCTCCCTCTCAACAAGAAAGATTGGGATTTTGCCTGAATAAGGCCTGAGGGAAGATTTTAGGGCTGCCCTGCAGAATTTACAACTTCTGTATCTTTATGAAGTTTTCCATTTACAAAAATACAAAATGTCTGTTTCTTCAGACTGGAAAAGTTTACTGAACATTCACTGCTTCATTCAGACCAGGCAAATCTCAATTTTCAAACTAACCCACAAAAAATAATAGACCTAACAGACATTCTTGCATCTGGTGGTAGAACAATTTTTTTTTTAATACTAAAACTTCAAACTTGTCTTGTGCAGCATCCCCAATGAAGTGTTTCTGCTCATTCTTGCAAAGGATTTGCAAAACCACAGAAAATTCTACTATTTTTAATACTTTAAGAGGTTTTCATTCCCTCTTCCCTATGGATGATACTCAGGCTCCCGTCACTTTTGTTGTTATGTTGCTATTTTGTAGTTGAGGAAGTTACTCAATGTGGGGATTTGAAAGCAAAACATATGTCTGTGAACATCTAGAAACCCCCCCCCCCCCCGATTTTGCAAGAGTCATTCTTTCCAATGAAGTCAGTGAGACTACATGGAAAAACCAAGGAAATGTCACAACTTTTACTTTGGTATAAACAGACAGACCAGGGAATATATTTTTGACAGAGTTCAAACCAATGCTGCTGTTGAGCCTTAGAGGGCAGTCTCGGTCTGTGAAGGCAACAAACAGCAAAGACTGATCTCAGTCTAGAGAGAACATCTGTGAACAGGATCTGTGAGACACGTTCCTGGCCTCATGCTGTAAGACAGGTGTTCTTTTAGAGTGCCTTTCCAACACTCAAACACTGTTATTTTAGCTAAAACCTTATATGGCCTGCATTTGATCCCAAAATTCTCTGTAAAAGCCTCCAAGACCTACCTGCAGAAGTTGACATTCTGATTCTGTTTCCAGTGTCCATTCAGCTTTATCCTGAATACAGAGATCTCCTCTAGCCTTAAGTCTGCATCTGCCAGCCTGCAGCAACAAAATGCTCTCTGTGGCAGAGTCTGTGGCTGCAGAGAACAAGACAGAGTTTTCCAAAGGGAGCCCAAGCTGACTGAGCCAGGGAAGTGAGTGCCTGAGCATCCCTTGGAGTGTGTATTCGTGTTGGCAGGAAGTGTCTATCTGCACATCAACTGTTCTGCCATCACACTGGAGGTTCATTAACAAGCCCACGTTGCAGATGTTCTGTTGAAATGAGCCCCCAAAGACCACTGCACGAGGCAATCCCACCTCCTACAACAGAAAAGAGTGTACTATTTAAAAAACACAAGGTAAAGCAATTGTCTTCCTAATTTGTTCCTGATTCATGAGAAAGCATTTCTTCTTTCTGAAACAATTTGCTTTTGGAAAGTACCATACAAGACAGCTTGTTTCACAGAGAAATCAGAAGTTCGTCAGTGAAACAACAGAAACAAAATAAATTGGGGGGAAAGAATAAATCCTACAACAATCTTCTCATAAGTAATGTAGAAGAAAAAGAAACTTAACTCCTGAAATACCTCCACAGTTTCAAACAGAAAGGACATGCTTTTCACTAGACTAGGACATAAGTTTATTTTAATTAAAAAACTATTAAACAACTATTTTATGGCAACAGCTGTAACATCTACCATTGTATTACTCCAAATTCACATCTTCAAATACACTTTCCCTCATGAATGCTCTGACTCATTTCTCTGCCAAAACAACTTTAATAACCAAAATTGTCCTGTCCATAAATACCAATGTCAGGAGACAGTTCTCTGTGACTTGTGATCTGAAATCACAGACTACAGACCATGCAGAAAACAATCTGGACTTACCTCCAGACTGACACACTTGTTCCTGACAGTAAGTACCCACTGTGTTTGATTGCTTGCCAGGTTCACTTCTCCATCAGCTTTCAGACTGCAAGGCCCAAGGACAACACCAAGGATGCCCTTATACTTGTCACTTCTCAGGGCTGACACCTTCACTTGGTTCTCTCTGGCAATCCCCAGAGAATGAAGTGAAGGCAAAGAATGCTGGAAATGGATTTCCAGATGAGGCTGGATGTTGGCAGTGGCGTGGAGCTGCAGGCAGGCAAACGTGTCATGAAAGGAAACATGTCCCAAGAAGATGACAGTAAAGTTGCTGGTAAACATTGACCCATTCAGTGAAACTCTTGCTGGAGTCTGAAAAATTACAGAAAACTGTTGTCAAGTTTGCTTTCCTGTCAGGCCACATACTGCTTTTAAATGTTCATGTTACTAGAGAAGAGAATTATTTCCCTACACCATTTTGTGTTCATCCTACATGTTTATAAATGCCTAAACAAATGGAGAGATGGCTTAAAATCTTTAAAGTTCCATAATAGAAATAATAGGGAAAAAAAACCAAATCAGTAACTCTGCTAAAACAATTACTAATACCAGATAAATCACACACACAGGAATCAGAGTCTCTGTGATTACTGTCTTTATGGAGACAAATGCAATCTGTGATGTCACTCACAGAAGACATTTTTAACACATTCTTAAGAATACATCCCCTTATAAGATGTATCTTTGTCAAACAGTTGAAGAGCCACAGGGGCTTTCACAAACAAATGGTTAGCTAGAAAGAGCAGAAAATAGAGTAAGGAATAAACTGAAATTCTCAGCTTGTGCCCCCCATGCTCCCTTGCCCAGTTCCTCTGTCAGGTTGGTTGCTCAGTAACAGGACAGGGCCATTGATACCCAGTTCAGTTCTGACTGGCAGAAAATAAAGTTTGGAGACTTGAGCTAAAACAGTTTTTGAAGGAGAAGTAGCTTGTTTGAATCTAAACATTACAGTAGTGAAAATATCTGAAAGTGCATGCAAAACTTCCAGCCAGCTCAAACCCATTTCTACATGTGTGACCCTTTGAGTACTTAGGGTCCCTTAGTGGTAGTTAAGACAGTATGTTGTTGACAGCAGAGTTTATAAATTAAGCCAGTACCTCAAAATGATGAAATGCAATTGCACCATTGCAAAGGCCAGAAAGTTGTTTGTTAGCAGATTCTCCACTGCAAGAAACCTGTTGGCATTACAAACAAAGCACGTTCAGAGCATGAAGAAAAGGAAAGAGGACTAAAATTCAAAGAAGAGAGCTACAAGGCTAAAGGATAAAACAGATGAAGATACCAAAACATAGCTTTGAGATTAAATGTTAGAGTTCAGTTTCGAAAAGAAAAACAGTTTAGTAGATCTGAGGGTATATCATGTCTCTAATTGTGCCTTATTATGCTCAAATATTATCAGTGTAGGTAAAGACAGAACAATATCTTCAAATATTAGGATAGAAAGTAAGTAGTAGGATGGAAAAGCTGAGATTGCAAGTTATTGTGCCTGGGCAAACACCTACTCCAGTTTCATGACATAAATGTTTTCTTACCCACCACTTCTTGAAAAACCTGCTCTTTATTGCTAAGCAAACAATTTTTAGGTTTTCTGTACTGGCTACTGGCCTTGTTTGACAAAAATCTCTCTTGCCTCTGACTTGCCAGCTTGCTCTCCAGGGTACATCTGAACGGCTGAGATGTGAAGCATTCAAATACACTACATCAAATACACTATAATATATGGTGGGATTTCTGCAAACCTCTAGTACACGTGGAACAATGTCCATCAGTCCTCCCACATCATGGTGAAGTGAGAGAGAAATTTCCACAGCACTGTCAGTGATTTCCTTCTCTATTTCAATTTTGAGCTGTTCCTTCTCCACTGTGGTTGTTATCCCTGCAGCAATCTTTGTGGTGAAATTCTATGCACAAAAGAAACCAAATTATGGAAAGAAACAAACAACAACATCCCAGCAACAACTGGCAAAGGCAGTCTCTTAGTCTATAGCAGAAATGCAGATAGAGAGAACAGTGGTCAAGCAATCCTGTACCAGGACATCTGTTCATATGTAACAAAGCACTTCACTTAAATGAAAACTGAATGCAGCATCTCATTTATTCTAGATTCAGCTCCAAGATTTCAGATGGCAAGTACACAATATGACAAGAAGCCAGAAAACACCTTTCTTTCACACAGTAATTCAGTACCTCAAAAATGCAGCAGTTTTTAAAATAAATATATATAGTGCCAAGGCAAAGCCTGCAGTTATTAGAAATTGTTCTGCCAAAAAATTAAATAATCACAGGCAGAACTCTTACCTCATAATAGCCAGCAGCCTCTACAATAAAAGGGATCCCTTGTTCCTTTATCTTTGAGATGTTGTGCTTTAAGCTCACAGAGAGCTGGGATTTAGGAGGTTCTGTGGCCAGTCTGTGCCCTCCAAACTCAACAGTAATCCCTTCCCTGCCACTCTGCAGGGCTACAGCAACAGTGTGATTCCCTGTGCCACGCTCACACCTGGCAGTAAGAATGCCATCCCATGGCAATCCTATTGACAGGGAAGGAAGCAAAATCAACACAGCACTTCTGGGTTGTCATTATAAAATACAGAGAAGATGTATTATAGATCAAAAGAAGCTTTCTATAATTTTTCATAAGACACACCTTTATGCATTTACTGGTATTTACAGAAGGACATTACCTACCATGTGAGAATCATTGAGAAGGGGTTGCTAAATTAAAATGTGGCATGCATTTTGGAAGTCAAGGATTTTTCTTTTCTTAATAAGGGATATTTATCAAGGGTTATTGTGTCTAACTCCAGTGGTCAGCTGTTAAAAAGTTTCAGAATGGACAAAGTTTCAAAAGGGACAAAGGCAATTTACACATTCAAAATTACTGATAACTCCAGCTCATGAAAACTGTTGCTTTAAGAGATCGATGAAAAAGAGACTCTGGGCCAAATTAGGGTATAAGATAAGATAAGATGCTGTGCCTGTGTGATATCTGGTTGTCCAGGCCAGGGGGCAGATGTTCTTAAACAGGATGAAGGCCTACCTTGAGGGAAGTCTAAACAAGCTAATGGAATTAATAGAATCGATATGGGAAGGGGAACAGTGTTGGAAAATGTATAAACTACTGTGCTAAAGGGTGAGGGATAACACAGCTACTTTAAAATTTACATTCACTACATAACTACTTCTAAAGCCTATAAAAATTAAAAAAATCAAAAACTCTATGGCAACAAAACCCATGGCTTTGCTTAGGAAGCAACACTTGGCATAAAACTACATTTGAAGGAGCTAATCAGCTTGCAGGAATACAGATATACAAGAGAGAAATAATTTACTCTGAAGTACTTTAAAACTGTTTGAACTAGTTCTGTGTCCATTTTATTGTATTTTCTCAACAATATTAAAAAGAATGTTGCCAAGCCTGGATCACATTTTGTTCTTTCTGGTGTGAGCAAAAGCAACTCATCTATTTCCACTGGTCTGCAGTCATGTAAATAAATTCACCTTGACACCTTGTCATACCACACAATCAAGTCAGAGTTTACCTGCATTTTTTAAGAAGTCGATGTTATGTGTGAAAGTCCCACTGACTCTGCTGTGCCCATGACTCGTGATATTGAAAAAATCCACGGAAAGAGCCTTCTCATCCACCTGGAAGCTGGCTAGCCCCCTCTTCATCTCTTTACTCAGCTCCAGGTGCCCTTTCAGTCTTGCCCCCACTGGGATTGCCAGACTGCCATTCTGAAACATGGCAACAGTGATGTTGTGTACAGTGACATTCCCAAACACATTCCTGTTCCTGAGATGGAGTCCATACAGTGTTTTGTTGACCATCACATTGATATTACCTGTAACAGGCAGAAGTTATTACTGTGGAGAGAGTCCTTTGGGACAGAAATAACCACAGTTCTAGAAGCAACATAAAAAATAACCATTAATTTAATACCAGGAGGAAGGAGATGGAAATCCATTTATTGTAACAAATAATTTCACCTAATCTAGAGAGTGAATCATTTTATTGTTGAGAGTTTCTCTACCAGTAGAAGTGTTTGTGTTTAAAACAAATTACATAATACTATTTCTGGCAGCTGTTTCACTTTATTGACCTAGTTGCTTGTGCCCTTAGGCCATGAGCTACACTGCACTGCCTTCTGAAGGTAAATTTACAGAGGGACTGTGACCCACTGCTTGTGTAACTCCAGGCTAGAGCTCTGCAGTGACCTACTCCACCCATGGAGCCATTCAGAGGAGTAAGAGCCTCAAGTCAGGCCCCCCCCATTTCAGAAGACCTGCAGAGGAAAGAAGCCACCCACTATTTTGCCCAAGAGCTGGATGCCTTATGCAGTTAAGTAAGGAATACATTAAAATTAAGAAGCTTCCTTAGATAGCTGCAGAACAGCAACAAAACACAAAGTAAGAGAGTACCATCATGAATGTTGTTTTTGCACTTCAGTAATCCATTCAGAGAAAGAAGGTGAGGTATGGCCTTTAATCCAGTAAATGTATGTTGGACTCTTCCATTTAGGGACAAAACCAAACCAGCTTTCTGTTCCCTGGCTCCCATGAAATCCACATGAAGCCTATTTTCATTAAGCTTCAACTCAGAAGATAACAGAAGTCTAAAAAGACAGAGATAAAAATTGCTAGTAAGATATTATTGTGCTTAATTCGTGATGGTCAAGGCACTCCTCCTCTCACTCAAAGCAGGGTCAATGAGAGCAGGGTGCTCAGGAGTGTGTGTGGCCAGGTTTGGGGTTATCTCCAAGTATGGAGACTCCACAGACTTCATGAGCACTTGTTCCAGAGTAAACACTTTTCAGTTCTCAGTTGACCAAGATTCTGATTCCTCTACCTTGATGGAAACATTTTGCCAATGAGCTGCAGCTGTATTGATTCTGGGTTTGTCAGGATTGTCTGATGGAGAAAAGCCCTCAGTGCAACAGCTCTGCCATTCTTCCTGTTTTCATTGTTCACATCGAGCTCCAGCATCAGCATGTCCCTTCCACTGGAGTGAAGGTGAAGAGAGCCATTGAAGTTGCTCTCACCATAACTCCTCAGGGCTGCCTGGGCCTGCACACAGAGAAAAAGAAGAGCAGGACATTAAGGACCTCAGATTACAGCACAGAATACTGAAACATCAGTTTGAGCAACGAGACTGCAGGCAGCAAGTTGGGACTGGGCAAAAACAGGGAAGGGAGCAGAGGGGAAAAGGAGTTTTTAGTTTTCATCTCTGTGTCTCACCATTTAACTCTAATTTTATTTGTCAATAAACTAAATTAATATTGCCCAAGTTGAGTTCATTTTGTCTGTGAAGGTAATGGGTACATGATCTCCCTGTCCTTATCTCAACCCTGTCACCATGCTAGAGTTGTCAACAAAAAAATTGTGAACTACATTGAATTTTAAGTACAATTTAATTTAACTTTGAGAGTTTTCTGAATTTCAGCCAAAACACAAGCCACCTATTCCAACCACAGGTAGCCAGAAAAACCTCTAACCACAAAAGTTAACCATTTCCCTAATAATTCATACCTCTCCACTGTACTCATTGAGTTCCATGAGTTGACCAACTACGTAGTATACACATAGGTTTGTGCTCCCATGCTTGAAAAGCAGCTGCAAAGCAGTTCATAGCAAGAAGTTTAACAGCTCCCAGGCTGTATTCCATGTATTCCTAATGCATGTGAGCAGAGACTCAGCACAGCTCTGAGTGTATGGACTGCAAAAGCTACAAGGTCCAAGCAACAAGGCTGTAAAACCAGGGCACTGACCTGTGAAGACACGTTCTTGTTGATGATGGCTTTTACACTCACACCACAGTCAAAGTGTTCCAGTTTGTTCTGCCTAGAAAACAGCTCCCCACTGAGGCCCATTGCCTGTGGAAACTCAAGCTATTTGACAAAGTAAAACGTCAGAACAGAACAGTGCATTCCCAACAACTGCTTCATGGGAATTAGTGTCTGAACTTCCAGCATTAGGTGGAACATGCACATAAGCAAATGTGTGTATAAAAGTTTACCAATTTTATCCAAAGGTACTGAAAAACAAATCAAATGCAGTTTAAAAAGTATGAAAGCAAAAGGTCTGTGTGTTTCTTATGAGATATTATTGATACAGATTATGATTTAATCTGCTGAGATACTTAGGGTCTTTGGCAGGGCCAGGACTTGATTGGACTAGGACATTTACCAGCATCAAACAATTATGATATTAAAGACAATACAGTAAAACAGTCACCAAGACATAAAAAATAAAATGCCAAAAGTGAAAACCACAAATACCTGGAATGACTGTGTCATATCCATGTGCAAAAGATGTCTAAAATCAGCCTCACTGGATTTGTTCTGATACCTCCCTAGAAAGCTGAGGACATCTTCCTTATTCACCTTCAAGATAGTCTCAAATTCATTCTTCACCTACATGTTAAGAATAGGAATAAGGGAACTGCATTGAGTATTAAGCCTGTATATTATGAAAGAGAATCATCCCTCCACATCATGAAAAATCAGAGTTGTGAGGTATTACACTGTGGCTCAGAATGAAATGAGAAAAGCAGGAAAAAAAACTGTATTTGGTGAAAAAGATTAATAGATACAGCTAGATAAGGGTGAGAACCCTGAATCCATTCTATCCCAGCACTTGTTATTATTAACAACACCCATGTATAACAATATTCTAAAAATAATATATTAAGTATTCTTACCATATATTACTATGCAACATTTTATTATACAAAATTAAGGAGGTACCAAGCACATAATCACCCTCTGAACATTTTTGATGCAACAGTTACATGGTGAGGAACTAAAGACCTATAGCAAGTTAGGCCTGAAAAGACAATAAAGTGCAAATAAACTGATAATGAATCTCTCCTTCTACTGAATTTAATGGGAAATTTACTCACATTTTGATGACTTAGAGTTAAAATGCATATTTCAACATCTTTGGGGAACAACTTGTGGTTATAAGGATGAGTTAGGCCAGCACAAATCTAAAAAAAAGTTTGAGAGGAAATGCAGGAACATAAGATACCTGCAGTAAATCACTAATTTGCTGAATTTTTTGGTATGTCAAATTAAAGGAAATTCTTGGAAAACTCACATAGGGGTTTTCAGGTTGGTAACCAAGTATAAGAGTTTGAACTGTTTCCTCAACCCCATTTATCAAAACCTTTGTCTCCATGAAATAGTGCTTTTGCTTTTTGTCAACAGTAAAAGTCTCCTGTAGAAGGAAGCTCTGCAGAAAGGGCACTTTAAAAGGATGCCTGGAAAAAAAAAAAAACCAAGGAATAAACAAAGTATAAAAAAAGATGTTAATAGACAACTACAAAAAGAAATCAATTCAACTTGAACTCCAAAATTTTCAGTTGCAGATACAGCAGGGTGTCAGGTACAGAAGCAAAACACATAAACCCAGGACCTTTAAGAAATTAAAGAGCATAATTACAACCTCACACAAACTATCAGAAATTCTGGTGTGTTTAAAGAGTTTCCACCCTGGATTTGGAAAAGGCTTGGAAAGGGTGATGCTCTAAAATTCTGACATGCACAACCAGCACATACACTTCATATACCTGCAGGGCCAAGACTTCATTTCAAACGGGGACAGTGTCCAAAAGCCTATGGCAAGTTTGAAAATCTCACTATCCACATTTTATGCTTTCTGTAGAAACAGTATCTGCATGCCAAGAATCCTGTGCAACAGATGTTCAGCCACTACATAGCTCTTGGAGTAGTTTACTACTTCAGTGTAATGTTTATGGACTTCAGTAAATATTTCTGCACATTTACTTAGTCAGATATCTTGGAAACATGCACAAACTTTTATAAGCAGATGTTGGACTGCCTTTATACATGCCAGGATATCTGGTACAGCTCTTCATTCTTCATTTATGTAGTTTTTTACTTAAAGGATGCCTCACAGTTTTTTAGCTACCTCCAAGCTGCACAGGGGCTCCTAAGGCAGTCTGTGCACTCCTGTTGGTCCTGCTGTGCTTTAAGAAAGCTGAGGTGTCCCTGGAGGTGATCCAGATGCCTCAAATCTGAGCATACATTTTTCCCAAGGCCTTCAAGCTGTGTTTTGATAATGGGTAATTTCAGGGACAGCCAATATCTGGAAGCAGTGCACTCATTCTCATCAGAAAATGGAAACATTCCAAAATCCAAACAAGACCATTTGTCACATGTTTTAAGAGGATATCTTTGGCTTTAGAATGGCTTTATTATTCCCAAGGACTAGGAAAAAGGCATCTGGATGGCACAGGGGATCAGATCTGGATTTTGGAACTTCTCATGACTTCCAAGTTTGGACACACCATAAATCCTGCTGTTTTCCTGGAAGGAGGCTATAAACCTGATGGAGTTGCCAACAAACATGTCACAGTACACATGGCCTGTTGCCTCTGACAGCTTTGTTCACTGTCATTTCAATAAAGAGGGCAAAAGCTAATAGTACAAATTACCACCCCATGAAGCTGCTGTGCTTGAGCAAGTCCAGAGACCCAGATGTGACAAAGCACAGGCTTTGTGCATGTGGCACTTTCACCTTGTAAAGCCCAGAACATTCCCCAAGAGCATCAAAATGCACGTTAAACTTAGGCCAAAACATTCTTCACAGACAGAAATAATAAGACAACTGAACCTGAAATGGAGGATTCCACGTTTCTGATAGAGCATCTTCTCCTTCTTCAGCTCCTCTATCTGACCTTCCAACTGCAGTATGACAGGCAGACTTTTATAATCTCTCCATACAATCTTCACAGAAAGGTTTGTCTTCTTTGGCTGCACTCAAATCACAAGACCAGAAGAATAAAGGACAATTGCATCAGATTTATTGCATTCGTATTCAGGAACATCAATATAGAAACCATACTGCCCCACAGGCTGCAGCAAGGCAGTCATTTCACAGATCAGCCCCTTTGTGCTGCAGTTAAATCCAGACCTCCATTTACATTGGATTAAAAGTGACATTAGTTAGAAAACTGACTTCAGCAGAAGAAAAATGCCCCATAATGTATCACTTAAGTGGCACCTATTTGCAATATGAGCGAGCTCTGGTACACTGTCAAACAAAAACTAATTGGATTTTCAATGGTATGTCTAGAAAAACACTTGTGGATTTAAGACTTCCTGCAAGGAACAAATGGACCAAAGTAACTCATCGAAGTATCCCTTTCAAGGAGAAACTGCTGGTTACCTTTCCTGTGCCACAGACATCAAGCAAAACAAAAATTATTTTAAGATTGGAAGGGATGTAGAGCCAAAAATAGCACATAAACCCAAGCTTACCATGCTCACTTAGCAGGCAAGAGATTCCGATTCTCCAAGACAGTAGAATCTTCCACACCTGTCATACCTCTGCATCAAATGGTAAGTAATCACATCTACAGCTCTTTTTCTAGTCATATAGTCCCTCTTTGTCCCTCCTCTCTGACTTTCTGTCTGCAGTTGGCCTCCCAAATAGGTGAGAAGTACTCCAAATTACACTACACAAGCTTTTGTTTGTTTTCTTTTTGAACCTAGTTTTACACCGCAGCCTTTCAAAACAGACAGAAATAGATGCAGCACTAGAAGTGTTTAAATTTCAACACTAACAATAACATCTTTCAGGAAGGTGGGAGAACTAAAAAAAACACAGTGCCGAGTAAAAAAAATTTGCATTTGTTTTTCTTTCTTACCGTTGGCAGATTCTGATAGCTGGCTGTGAAGTTAAATTCCTGTTTTGTACTTGTTATCTTAAAGCAGAGAAGTTTGGCTCGTTCATTATTCTCCAAATGAATCTCATTCTTCACGAGCTGATTCCACAGAGAGATCATTTCACCATAGCTATGCAGAACATTCCTCCCGAGACGATTAAATGTGGATGCCTGAAAAACAAAGACATTAGTCTGGCTTAGCTAGGACAGACAGCATTCCATTGTGCCAGCAGCATAGAGGTGAAAGAGTGATCTTTGCAAGAACTATTAGAAATGTGGGTCAGCTTTTCCATTATGAAAATATTCTGAACTGTCACAAAGATCTCCAAGTTTATTTTACCCTCTCTAAGCAAAGGAGAGAGAAAAAGCTCTCCAGGAAGAGGAGAGTTACATTCTCCTCAGGCCTTTAAATCCAGTGCCTCAAAATTAGTGAATTTAGGTAATCACTGGGCTCTTAATTTAGCAGTTTGGCTATCGTTCCTACTTTTTAAAGGAAAGACACTCTCAGCTGTTTCGTATCAGTAAGGACAAACTTTAAACATTTCTTTCAATGATGATCCAATTTTCCAGCTTCCTGAAACTGTTAGCTCGTGGAAGGGATGGAGGTAAGAACTTCAAAACAGTAATGACTATGTGTACACTCCTAGGCAGAATTCTGCCATCGTGTTTTGGGCTTTGCCAGGGAGCAATGGATACCCATTCCAAAGAGGGGCAGAGCTGATGGTCCTAACATTTGTTCAAAGCTGATACAGCGCCCCGGCTGTGCTGATTTGACTGCTCTGGAGAAGAACAGCTTATCATTCAAGCATAGAGAACAGAAGAACACAGGCATCTTGAGATCCCCTTTGATAAGCTGGGACACAGTGCATGAGTTTCTCAAAAAAAGCAGCTCACAGAGCACCCTGAGCAAGTGCTCCTGCAGTGAGCTGACAGTGCCAGAGCTGTCACAGAGCCCTCTCATCAAAGCCACGCACTAGATGAAGCACCGTGTTACCAACCTGCAGGTATGTGGTAGCTGGTGTGTAAATGTGAACTTTGCCTTCCTTTTCATTGCCTTGATCTTTATAGAACAGTTCCACTACGAGATTCTTAATGGAGAGAGCTTTTCCAGTTGTCAGCTCGGTGGTCAGTAAATAAGCAGAATTCTGAGGCTGATGTAGTTTGTGAGCTGCATACAGATACAGCCATGGGATGTCTAGATTTAACCCACCTGGAAAGAACATATATTAGAGCTGACAGAAACATGAGGTTTCAAGCTACCTGGACTCCAACTCAGCAACCAGGCTGACAAGATGCTGGGGTTTTGGAATGAAGCTAAAATGCTACTACCAACCTATTCTCTTCCAGTTACTAAAATCTCTGGATGGTATATAATGAAATTAATGTCCTTCACTACTGTAACATCACTGTAACACATAGGCAGGTTTGCTAATAAATGGAATTGCTGGAAGAGGCCAGCCAGCTAGGCTGTGGGAAGTTGGAGATTTCAAAAACTTCAGCTAGACAAAGCCACAAAACCAGTCCCGACTTGAGCAGGAGGCTGGGCTGGATAACCTCATGGTTTCTCCCTTCCAACCAACATCTCTCTCATTCTGTTACACCCATGCAAAACTACCTCAGAAAAGCCCAGCAGCACCTTCCAATGCCTGCTTTTCTAATCCCAGGCTGGAAATGGTTGGTGGTACTTCACCTTCCCACTTCTTCAGGCCATTTCTGGATGCGTCCTTCCACTGCAGCCCAGCCACAAATGGCATGTGGTCATTGTACTGCACCTCAAAGTTGGTGCTGCTCTGCAAATACACCTTAGAGGTGTGCAAGTGCTGCAGCTGGGTTCTGTAATTCACCTGCTTTTCCAGGACTTGCAGGGCAAACTGGAAAACAAGTGAAGCAAATTTAAATAAAAACAGGATCCCACCTTCAGAACTGTCTAATTTAACACACATATACACAGAGTAGCAGGAAGGTCACAGCTTCTGCCTCTGCTCTGGGTACTTGACTTGTATTATTAATACATACCATATTTACCAAAAAAGGTCTTAATAAATAAATTAATTTAAATTTGTTTTTCTTATTTTGTCTGTTGGATATTTGAAGTGAAGGTCTTACTCTTCAACAATCATGATTACCTCCATGAAATAGCTGACTACAGATGGACTGGAACTGTTCTTAAATGCTTGGCTGATCAGCAGTTTCTTCTTGTTGTTTTTTTCATCCCAGTGTTTCCCATAATTCACTTCCATTTGGGAAGAAAGCCAAGATGCACCCGCTTCATGCTTCAGGTGAACCTAAAGAACGGAAAACCGCATTTTTCCTGTGAATTTTGCTTTCTCTTACATGTGCTGAGCCCCTCAGTACATAAGTGACACAAGGACACTCAGCACACAAGTGCTTGGGCCAGTATTTACCTTGTGATTGTAGGTTGGAGTCTGCACACAGTGAAATTCGTGCCCAATATCCACTTTGTACACTCCATGTGCACCTGTCTCCACTTTAATATTTTGCCTCATACTGCATTCATGACGAGGATTTTTTGCCTCTCCTGTTCAAGTTAAACCACAAAGTTACCAATTCAAATAAATCAGAAGTAAAGTTTCAAAACTATAAGTCTGGTACTGGCTTCAAGGCTTCCATTTTTCAAAAACATTTGAGTGAGATTTGTCTACTTTTACAGCTATTGCTGATTTATCCTACAAATCCAAAGGAAAGCACACATTTCTTTTCCAGTGTACCTAGGATCCCATACTTTATCCTCAAACTGTGAGACCACAGGCCCTCATGTTGCTGGAGAAGAGCGATGACGTGAGCTCCAAGAACGCCTGGAAGGCAGGTCTCCCCTTCCAAAGAGTATTGTCTCAGCTTATCATCCACCTTTTTCTCCAGAAGTGCTACAAAAAGAGTAGAAGTGATTATGCAGTGGTAGGACTTGAAGTTAGTTTAGTTAGTAAAAGGAATGCTACAACGGGGAAAACCACAACTGCATTCATTCCGTATCCCCCACCACGACAAACTCCTCGTGCAGTGAGCAGGTGAAAAAAGAGGCAGAGCTGGATGTTCAATCTCTCTCCACTACACAGAGAGCCTGCACCACACACTTCTCACATACTGCTTCTAACAGACTGATCTTTTAATTAACCAAGACCTAACATGTGAACATGGGGATATTGAACTCTGTACAGAGTCAGAGCAAGGTTGTGGCTTTGCAGTAGCATTACTGGTGCAGCCCAGTTCTCAGGGACAAGAGTCTGAACTCGGACCAGAACTGGTTTTGATGCAGTCACCGGCAATCCACGCAACAGGACAAGGATTTCACCAAGAGATCATCTCCCAAAAATCAAACTGGCATTTTGCATTGTGTAAAAGTTAGTTTTATTTGAAAATACTGCATAATCCTATGACATTTTAATGTCTTTGACACATGGAGGTTACAGTAAGGAATACCAAGGAAAAAACGAGAGCCTTAGATTTAAATTACTGATTTATTCCACTGTATTAATTTACTTCTTAATGAACTGATGTTATACAAATAGTAAAGCCCTTTCTGATACCTTTCTCTTATATTTTCCTTTTAGTGTGCTAGTGAGAAAAAAAAAGTTTCAACATTTTTAGAACTACAGATCTTAAAAAACATTTAGTTACAAATGCACATCTCTGCACTGTTCCATACTAACAAAAGTGAAAACAGGAAATGTCCTAATAGCTGATATTGTTTGGCATGTTTTTGTTAAGCGATTCCTTATATCTTATTTCCTCCACCCTCTTCAACATTAATTCAAAGCAGACTTAAAAATGTATTTTGTAATTCCTATTATTCTATGATCAAGGGTAATAATTGTAAAAAGCAGTCTTTACTGATTTGAAAGGAATTTTAGGAATAGGTGTCGATAACCAGGCAACTCTAACATATAAGGGCTCCAGAACTTGCATTTATATGTCAAATACTTACTGTCCTCTAACCTGAAAGAAATGCAGCATCCTTCAATAAATTATTCAGGGATACTGAGAAAGCTATCTTCTTGCCAAGCTGTTTAGTGATGTTTCCTGACAGAATGACAGGACTGCTTTGCTTTATCAGCTTTACCTCCAGCTGGGTCATGTATCTCTGCTCTCCACTCAGCACCTGCAAATCTGTCATTCCCTAGAATAAAAAAACAAACAAACAAACAAACAAAATCAAACGCCAAGCCACTCAACAACACAAATTGATCAGGCTTTGAGAGAGCAATAGTAGAGACTTGGGCATTTCAGAAATGAGACATGAAGAGAAAGAAAAGGTGGTTTTTTTTCTATACACCCAACAAATGACCTTCCACCTCCCCTCAAACCATCAAACTTGCCATTAGTAAATAATGAGGAGGAAGGATGGATTTGTTTTTCCAGTTACACAAAAATCACAGTGCTGTGAGATGCTATTTCCTTCAGCTCCTGCTGGTTTTAGTAGTGACTGAAACCACTAAGAATGTTGCAACACTGGGCCAAAAAATAATATGGTGTTACTGAAAATACTGGCAGTCTCACAGAGATTTAGGCTGAAATAGATGCAAATGCAACAGTCTGCAATGCTAATTAGTGTTTGGTTTCATGAGAAACATTCAGAAAGTCTTTGTTGAAATATTACTCTAGAAAAAAAAATCTGGTAAATAACATGCTCACTGTAGGAAAATACAGAGTGTTTGAAACCAACTGGCTTTGGAGGCTCACGTAAGACATGGCATCCTGCTGTGGGCATCAACTGCATAATGAAAAAAACTGTTCATATCCTGGAACTTAAACAAAAATGTCAGCAGAGTTTCAGTGATAAACTTCCACCTGCATTTTAATTTGCTTTTTCATTTCAGCATTCAAATATTGGCATTCTCTTGCTTATTCTGCCCCCACACAATTTCTGTAATAAATAACAATGCCTTAGAGATTCTTACATCTACAGAGTCCACAGAAGTGAGGAAATTAGCCTGGGCTTACTCAGAACTAGTCATGCATGGTCAGAATACAGGTCTGAAAAATTTTGTGACCAAAGGCCACAGGAGTGTGTGTGAATTTCTCTACTGAATTTATGCTGCAAGGAACCTCAAGGTTTTGAATACATCTGAATGTGAAAAAATTACTTTAAAAGCCATGCTTTAAAAGCTGTTAAAACGCAGTCATTTAGCACTGAGTCTATCTCAAAAATATGTAAAAAAGAGAATTGGTAATTTCTGTGATGGATTGCTCATGAACTAAAAACATACCTTAATGTAATACACGTCTCGGTCATCCACTATCAGCTCCAGGTGTCCAATTCGTGAATTTTTAGAAAACTCAATCCTCCCTTGGAGAAAAATAAAACTGTTTACTTTTTTTGGGCACACAGTGTTCAATGGTGCTTCATAAAACTGTACCCAAGATGACAGTTGCTATTGTTACGAACAATATATATACAGAGTAAAAACATAATAAATATCAGCTCAAAGGAAAAAATTTAGGACCAGAGTTTGCACAGGCATTTTTCAAAGTGTTCTCAGAATACACTTGTCATTTCGAAAGGACATTCTGAGGTTATTAATTGAGAAGAGGCAACAAAGCTTTCTCCAAAAATCCAAGTTAATTCTGGAACTGATTTACACACTTCCTTTAGGTCTGTGCTAAAACTTATAAGTTGTGCTGTGGAGACATTTCAGGAGCTCAGAACAGTGTGTACACAAAGCTTTGCACAGTGTAGGTAAATCTTCCTTGTAATCCGTTTGAAAATAACCAGGATCAAAAAACAAAAATAAATGAAGGGGTGAATTCTAAATAAGTGATCTGGTAGAATACATCAACACAAAACATCACCTGACCAGTATGTCAAAGAAGCTGAAATATCTTGCCTATATTCCTACCATGTATTTATCAGTTTATATTTTATCAACATGTTGGTTCATTTTGTGTTCTATGTTACACCGTGATTGAAATGTTACTTTTTATTAGAATGCACAACAATATCATAGTCACTACTTCATTGATTTGGCAACAAGTAGTTTCATATCATAACTAACAGAATACAGCAAATCAAAATAGTAAGGCCAGTTCAGCATATGTACAAGATTACAGGACAAGGCAACCACATTCCTTAGCCTTAATTTCATCAACTCTGGTAGCAGCTTTCTTGTCTAACATGGGTTTATGAACCAGGTACTGAACCTCTGACTGTGCAACACAGTGTTAACCAAGATGCAAAATCCCCTGGGAATGGGTGTTACCTAAAGCAGTAAATTGAATGCCTAACACACAAAAATGCAGCTTCAGCACTAGATTATTGACTGAAATATATTAATATTTCTCAGCTAATTCTAATTAAGTTCTCCTAACTGATATTAATTGATGATCACTTTCTTAGTTGAAAAACCTACTTACCATCAATCTCGATTTTTCTCTTAGGTTGTATAAACTGGATTCTGAGTTTCTTCTGTGGGACACTAAAACTGAGATCAACACCAACATCCCTTTTCAAGTCTGACTTTGGAGTCCCAATGAAGAAGCGAAAGACAGCTTCATTTGGGATCCATGAATTCTCCTGGAAGAAAGAAAGGACAACCACATTAGTCACTGGCAAGGCAATGACAAAACAGTCTATGACACTGAGACAACAGACTGTTTGTGTGGGCTGCTTTGTATACAAAAATAATATGTACCTACTATCAGCATCAGTAATTTGTTTTTTGACGTATTTTCCCACTAAAATGGGAATGAATTAACGATAATGTAAACCATGAAATCCAGCTGGTTGAATATGCAGTACTGAGATATACCACTCTGTCACCAGAGTGATAAACTCAAACTAAAGCCAGAGTACAACACACCACAGGTACCTGAGGGATATAGTTATATGCAGCTTCCACAACGTACTGCTGCAGGCCTCTGTCTTTCTTTGTTAATATGACAGCCACTCTCGAAGGTCCAGTGAGGGGGAAAACCAAACCACTGGCTAGGGCAGGGTATGACATTTCAGAACAGAGCTGCCAGCCAAGAATCTCTGACACTGGTGGAAGACAACAGTTGAATGTCCAGTTAGAACAACAAACAAAGAAAACATGCAAGGGAACATTGCACTGAAGACCTTTTAGAACTAGTATATAAAAAATGAACTCTACTGAATAAAATGATCTGATTTGGATCTTTCAGAATGATCAGGTTTTCTGAGACAAATATATTAGCTGGGCTCACCTTCCTCCCTGGTGCAAGATCGGGTGTCTGTGTGGTCTTGGAAAACATCTCTCTCTTCTGTCTCATCCACCCCTCTGAAGTAGAGTTTAGAGCTACAACCAAGAATTGTGAACAGTCACTTAAAAACAATTATGTTGAAGTTACAACAACATTTAAACAAAACTCTCAGTTATATGCCACCTTCTCCCAGATGTGAAAAACAAGAAATAGGCAGTTCTGCTAAGGTCAGTCTAGATTTCTACTCATTAGCACTGATTTTTATCCACAGTTTCCATGTGTGACCTGTCACTGTCTTGAGAATTCATCTGCAGTTCTTCACAGTCAGTATTAGATTTCTCTGTTCTGAGCAATTTGCTGTGGTCAGCTTATTGAACTCCACTCACTTCCTGGCTTCTAGAGACTTTGTTTTCCCTTAGGCTATGTATGGACACCAGTTTTGTTTCAGTCTTGAAGTTCTTTCAGAACCTCAAAACTTCACTAAAAACTCACCAGAAGGGTTTGAGCACCCCTTGTTACTACCGTACTCCAAATTTCTCCCTAAATGGCATTCTGTACCTGGTATTGCTAAATGCCATCTGCAGAAGCAATGCTAAGCTTTTCCTCCACCATTTTAGTACCTTGAACTAGATTCTTCGGACACTAAAGTTCCAGAGACAGCACTGGCATTCAGAGGGAAGAAACAGAGGAGTATGAAAAAAAATATTTTACATCTTTTATCATAAAGCTTTGATTTGAATGTGCGTTTTTATGGTAAAATAATGTAAAATGCACCAAATAATTTCCCCTTCTTTTTTTACTGAATGACAGATCTGGATTATGAGTCAGACCGAAACAGTTTGTTTTCTGACAAAATATATTTCTTCCCTATTAATGAGCCTGTCAGCTCAGTTCTGATTCCAGAAAGTTAATGTGATTACTATTTTTGGTGGTGCCTTTGCTTAATCTTACCTGAAATTAATTATCTCCATAGATTCTTCTGGAGTGTTCAAGAAAACTTTGAGCTCTTGCCCTTTTTTCACCTGGATTCCCCCATCAAGACTAGTAGATGTCCTCATTCCTGTTAGCCAGCCTAGGCCAGCTTGTCCCACAGTCCCCACAGTTCCCATGTGCACAGAAAGCTGAACAAATGCACTGTTGAAAGATTCAGAGACATATCCTTCTATGAAAAGCATTTTCTTTTTAAAGCACTTAATTTAAACCTCTTCAATAAGCATTTACTGCTGTAACACAATATATTCTCTGACTAAAATAATGAGTTATTTTGTTTCAGAAATAACTGAAAAATTTGTATGTACAGACATACATGTTCTAATATGAATTGAAGTATAGTTTTACTATATATCCTAAGTAAGGGATTTAAACCAAGACTTGAGCATGAAATACAGTAGTAGAGTTCAAAATCAGACAGGCAGGACAGGAAAACACTGCTGCCCTCACACCATGGCCACCATTCAGGCTGATGACTGCTTTTGTTCTTCAGGAATCTCCTAATTGATTACAAGGGACACTCACAGAAAACTTCCACATCAGGAATTGCTACTTGACATCAGGAATATGTGGAAGTGACACAAGGCAGCAATTATTACCTTGGCTTGATATACCCGTTCAGAAAGAAGTTTGAGTGTTGTTTGAAATCCGCATTCCCTTTGATTTTTATGTTGACTGCTGCCGAGGCATTGACTGCCAGCTGAACAGGAAAGCCTGAAATTGCTGGAAACTGCAATTCTTCAGTGGCCAAACTCATCCTTTTATTAAACTGGACCTCCTGACCCTGTGGTGAAAACAAACAAACAAACCCCAGAATTTTATTTTGCACAATAAAGTCAGCATTCAGCAATTTTTCCAGTTATAACTATTGACTGCATCTGTCTGCTGCCAAAATGCTTTTAAGTGAGCTGATTTGGGACATTGGGAAGAAAGCAGCCCAAAGCCTGCATCTGGCCATGGCATGAGTTAGACACTAGTCCTACCCCAGCTAAAGAAAGAATTATTTTTCATTTAAGCATGGATGTATTTGAATGAGAGAAGCAAGAGATAAGAGCCATTAGATGACACAACAAGTCATTGCCTAATGTACTGAATGTAAATATACTAATGAATATTTAAACCAAATATACACTGGTGACTTTTTAGAGTTCAATTTAGAGAAACAATAAGTAATATTTTGTATCTTTTGCATATCTGTCAGAAAGTAGTTTCTCAAGATATTTAATTTCAAATAGAAAAAAGGTTCCTTTTACCTTCAGAAGTTTGACAGCCAACTCAGCCAGATTTAAGGAATAATGCTTCATTTGTTTTCTTAAATCTTCACAATCTAAGAAGGTAAGTTCATTTCCAAAGATCTTCATGCTTAGCTCACATTTCAATGTCTCCTTTCTCACCGTTCTCTCAGTGAACTGACATGTGATAAAGACAGAAATCAAAGAGAATGATGTTATAATTTCCTTTCAAACTCATAATAGACAATTCCTCAGTGCAGGCACTTAGTAAAGAGACTCCCTTTAGGCTCCCTTTTACAAATACTTCAAGACCACTTAAGGCCCTGGGTTAGTACCTGTTCTTTCCAGCTAAAATTCAGCTCCACACCACACAAGTTGACTGCCACTATGAACACAGGTCATGTCCAGTCACAGGATGACTGGCAAAGGAGAAGTATTGCAATCCATACCCACAAAGAGGTGAAGCTTTGAAAAATGTAATCTCAATACAACTTTAGGGATGCCATGATTGCTAAATAAACTGCTAAGAAGTAATGATTTTGCGTTTTTTCCCCTTATGCATCAGTACAACAGCAACACACATGCTCATGAGCTTACACCTGAATAAGATGAGCCCCAAGAAGAGAGATGATCTAAGACAAACTGTATAAACCATGGTCCCCAAGTTTTCCAGCTAACATATCAACAACTGAAGTCAGTTCTCAGAGCTTTCCTGTTATGTACATAGAACATAGCTCTTTTCAAATATGGGTAAATTCACAAAGGGTCAATGTAACATCCAACATCAAACTGGGAAGTCAGATCACAAACAACAGGAACTTAACATCAAGCAGCTGTTTACAGTGCCAAAGCAGTCAATAGACAACAGGACATCAGTATAAATGGGATCAGAGCTCAAAATAATGAGAGGAAGCCCAAAACACAGGCAACATACTCCCATGGCTGAGAATCATTGTTTTGAGACAATAGAGCACCCTGAAAACCTGAAGATCTGGCTCTTTGCTGCTTTGTATTTTAGGCAGCTGTTGAGTTCCTGCAAGTGAGCAGAACAGGACACATGTGCTTTATGCAAAGGGGTCACAGTAACAGAGTCCAGTGCAAGATGAGGCCCTCAGCTTAACTGGGGAATGTCATTAATTTTTCCAAGATCTACAGAGTCAGTTACCTTTTTGACTAACTCACTCATTTTACTGTACTTTCTACCAAGACAATTCTGGCTTGTTTTTCTCAACTTTGGCCTCCCACTCTTGGTCATGAGGTGATCAGCGGGGCTGTATCGCTTCAAATTCAGCTTCCTCTGCTTGACCTTCTCTGCTGTTTCCACTGGGTTTTCTGATTTGTGGTTTCTTTCATTAGTGGTTCCAAAAAAATAGTCACTGAAAGAAGCAGATTTCTGCCCCAAAACCTTCTGTACCAGACTTTCAGCATTCTCCAATCGTATGCCAACCTAGGGAAAAGCAATTACAGCCTTGAAAAGCCTGGCAATGACCTGCATAAGCCATGTCGAGTTCTATAAGCAGAAATTAAAAAATACAAACAGATGCAACCAACAGCGAAGGATTTGCCAAACAAGATCCCAGCAGCCTATAAAGTTTAGCATTCTACCTCATGCAGCATCCAGTACTGGATATTTCAGTATTAAGTCTTTCCACAAAAATTAATTGGTTGATTATGCAAAACTCAGTCCAAAATAAAAATCCTTTTCCATTCGGGTACTGGTTCATTTACACATGATGGGACAGTTTGAGCTGTATTAAACAAGAGCTCAGTTATAACTCTCTTGGGTAGTTCATGGTACCAGTAGAGTGACAGTGTTCTTATTATGACTAAATCTCTTATACAAAGGAGTGTCACCAGTCTGGGGCAACTGTGCTGTAGCAGTGAAAAGCACACCTTGCTAAAGCAACCACAATGGGAAAACAGAAAACACTTATTTTTACTTCAATACATCAAGTGTCCCTTGAAGAGGGGGATAAAAAAACCACAGTTAAAAAACCCCATAAACTTGCCTCCAGTAGATTTGCAGCCTGTCCCATAAGGTGAACGGTCAGATTTGTCATGACTGAGCGTGGTAGAAAAGATGCAGGAGAAAACACCACTGATGCTTCCACATTTGCACCCGCACCAGCTGCAATGGAAAACACCAGATGTCTGTCAGTTGGAGATCAGCTGTTCTCATATACTGTGCAAGACTCATAGTTCTTTGGGAAACTGTAACTCTGCTCATTAAGATGATGCTGAATAAAACATTGTCAGTAGAGGGAACTATTCAATTTTTTAGTACAGCAAAGACATTACTGTAAGTAATTTCCATTTACTGGAATTCCATATTTACTGGATATCACTGGATTTTATCTCACTAACATCAAAAGAAGAGCATTTACAATGCATAACATACACAAATGCACTGGAAGAAATGGACAGCAAATCGAAATGTTACTTTAAAAAGTATCATCTAGTGTTTGCACTGAAAACAAATGATGAACAGATAGTAAAATAGGAAGGAAATAGTTTGAATATTTTCTTATACAAAGGGAAGCAAGCACATGAATCAGGAGGAAAAAATACATCCCAATCCCCTGTTGCTGCAAAGGAAGCTCACTAAGGAAGGAATCAAAAGTTGGGGTTCACAAAAATAATCTTTAAAGTTTATTGATTCTTAGTCTCCTCTCACAAAAGGCAAAGATTCAAGGTGTCTGGTTTGCTGGAATTACATTTCATATACTCCAATTAAGGTCAGAGCAGAATCAGCTTAATAGCACCCAGATATGCAAGTGTAAGTCATAAAAATTAAACATGGAGCAACACGTAAAGGGCCAGAAAAGCCATGTGGGATTTTAATAATCCATAAGCTACAAAGCACTAAGTTCTAAAACTCCACATACCTGAGTGGAACGTGACATCAGAATATGAGGAGTATTTCCATGCCTCCCTTTCAAAATCTCTGCTAAGGATTTCATCAGGAATAGAATCTCGAAGGTGCTCCTTCAGTGGATCATCTGTCTCCAGGATCTGAGAGAGGTGACTCCAAACAAAGGAGCCCACTTAAATTTTGTTTAAAAAACCAAAGGAAAGCATTTGGAGATTAGAGAAAAATTAAAGCAGTTTTAGAAACAGATACAGACAATATTTTAATTTATGTACACCAGCATTAATTCTAAGCCACCCCTCTGACCACAACTGAATTCATTCATTTTCAGCACAATTAAAATCAGTCTGATGCACCCATCTTTATCACAGTCAACTTATCGAAATACTGTCTTGTTCTTTCCAATATGGTATGTGAGGGACCATTCACTCCCTAATTTCATTTGTGCCTCTCAGCTACCCTAGGCGGGCAAGGGTGTAAGAATAACCTATTTATTTACTGTTTGCAGAGGATCTGGTACACTAAATTTAAAGGAATGCAACAGAATTAGAGATGGTTTTTAACTTTGGCAACATCCTTCATTTTGTTCTTGAAAAATCACTGACCCAGTGTACTGAAACATTAAAAATAAAATTTAAGTGTGGGATAGACAGCAAGCACATGCAAATCTTAAAGTAACCATTAAAAACTACAAGCAGGAATAAAAATGGCCTTTTAAAGGCAAGCATTAAGCAACTTCAAATACCAGGAGATCTATTAATCGATTAATGCACGAACATTGGCAACAACATTGCTGGATTTATAAGAGAAAACTGTCATACAACAAAGAAACCATTCCAAGATGAAGAGTCTTTCTATTCTGTGCAATGTACAAGAGGTCCAAAAGTCTTTCAATTAAAAAAAAAGTCACATACAGTTAAACAATTGTGACTGAGAATTAGTATTTCTGTGTGACACTGTGTGGATTCATGGTTTGGCCACATATGTGCTGTGTTGTGGGAGGCAAATATATCCCATGTGTTCTGGAGTCTGGCTCTTAAACAGAGGCTTTTTTGTCTCCTGAAGATAAAAGACATGCTCCAGACACTGAATACTGATATAACTGCATTTTGCACAACACAACTTTTTTTCAAATTTCTTTTTCTGAAGGTGGCAACTAAAAACTAACATGTGCTCTATGCCCTCAAAAGTACCTGTTATTCAAAAGTTCAGCGTATAAATTATTTAGGTGTCACATCAACAAAAGACAAAGGAAGGAAAACGGCAAAAATTCATGAGTACTGCATTAAATTGTTTAAAACACACAGCATTTTGGATGGACTGGTAGAGCTCCTTCATAAATCAGACAGATTAAATTTTCTGCATGGAGCCACAGGGAGGAGAGTCACTGAGGGTGCACCTCGACAGGGTTTTGCAGGTGGATGCAATTTCTCTCTGCTTGAACTCTGAACAGAGGGGAACAAGTGCCCTCCAAACCACAAACCACATCATCAGGTGAACATAATGCTGAGCCTGAACTCCTAACTGCTGCAGGATATCACATCCTGGTAAAATGGATACACAGCTTCAAATGTGGAGCCAGCCAGGACCCAGCCACACCTGAGTGCAGACAGAGCCTGCTTTCATCAGCCTGCAAACAACCTCACAGAGACCCTTCTCGTGCTTGCTTCTTCTTGACAGATTTAAATGCAAAGGATTAGTCTAGAGGTATTCTTTGTTAAACATGGTGAAGCCATTTTAGAATATTGCAGTATTATTTCTGCCACTTCTTTCTCGATAAAATGCAATTTGCAGTTATCCCTTTGTATTTCTAATGCACTGAGCAACAAAGATGTTCCACCTATCTTCCTCAAGAGCCTTCAGCTAATGAAATGTTGCCAGTAGGGGGAATTAATCCTATGAAAAGTCAGTCTTTACTGACTATTGCTAAACTAACAATATCACAATTTCAATATAAACTGTTGCAATCATACAAACGATCTTTTAAAAACGATCTTCAAAGCACTAAGATAAAACAAAATTTTCTACATATTGGTGCCATTACACCTGTAAAACAAATGTTTTGAAAGTATCATTTAAGAACATGTCAGACTCTAGTAGCTGCTTGGCTAACCTTGGCTGGATGTTTCTTTCAGCAAAGTCTTTTGTACTTGTTTAAATAACTCTTCATGTGGACATTTCATTGCCATATAATAAGCAGCAATTCTTATTTCCACATCTTCGCTGGTTGCTTGATATAACTGAACTAAAATATCATTCTAAGAGAAAAAGATGAAAAAATAAAGACAATTACAACTTACTCCCTTAGAACACCTCATGTATGCACTTCCAGGTCCAGGTGGATTTTTGAGACAGCTATTGCTTTGCATCTGACAAAGTCACTTTGTGCAATATGTATACAGATGTTTGTACATATTCTCTGTACTACCTTATCCACAAATTTCCTGAATAAACTGTCATTATGACCTGAATTCTGAATCCTGCACAGAGTAATTTATACAGGACTCTGCAACACAGAGCCTCACCTGCCAGCACAACTGTCGAAGGTGTTTTTATTTCACCGAAGGGTAGACCTGGCTGTTATATTTCTCTCACATGCCACAGCTCAGACATAGACAGCGATGGACACATTTTTGTTCACAGGCTATTGAGATCATTAGTTCTGGTCTCAATCAAAAAGCAGGACTGCAAATTTGTTCTATTCAATATTTCTCCAGTATCAACAAATATGAATTTTTAGGTGAACTGCCACAAATTAAGACACTGGTGACTGATACTAGTAACATTTTTATTAGTATTTAACACCCCCCGGCTCACCCACAGGGTGTCAGTTTAGCAGTTCATTTGATGGGGTGTATGACAACATATAGACTTCATACTTTGAACAGGTCTAAGGATCAACACCAAGCTTCATAACTACAGAACAAATGAATTATGCCAATCCATGCTGCAATTAAATTTTAAAAGACCACAGAAAAATACTTCTCCAAGTGCAAGTCCATGTGAAGTCTTGTTCTTCTGGAGCAGGGCTGCCAGCTTTGCCCAGGCCAGCACTCCTGGCTTTGCCATTCCTTTTAGCATCAAGTTATTTGATATAAACAAATTTTGTGTTTTCCTCCATTAAATCATTTAACAAAATGTTCTAACTATGACAGCGTATTGCAAATCACAGCAAGCTTCTCACCTTAATACTTTATACTTCAGGGAATGATACAGTGGAATAGACTGTGGGAAGAATCAAGTACTGTGGGTTCTCAGCCATAACCCACCCAACTGAAGTAACTATTTAAGAAGTCACAAACACTGCTTCAGTCACTGGATATGTTACCTCAGCTACAGCAAAGCACATCAGAGGTCTGTTCATCCGGGGGTCCTGCCCACTTCTCCAGCAGCAGAGGGGCTCTGCTAGAACACGTCTGCACTTGTTCCTTATCTCTTTGTGTGTTTCGTAGCTATTCCAAAAAGTCAAAACTCTGGAGCAGTGCCAGGAAGTCACCTGCTGGCAATAAATCACTTACCCTGACAGAGCAGGGAATGCGCCTGAAGGCCTGGATAGCAGCTAGGCGGATTTCCATGGGATTACTGCTCAGGGAAGCACAGGAGCTCAGAACAGGAGCCAGCGAAGCCGCTGCCAGTCCTGCGTTTCCGACGGCTTTTAACACCAGCTGCATCTGTAAATACAGAGCAAGGTGGAATAAAAGGTTTCTCATGTGTTGTCAGCTCTACATTAAATTTCATTGCAACATTTTCTGTGCAAAACTGTGTTTAAAATGATTACTGTTCATTTGGGGAGTTTACTGCAGCCCCTGTTGTACCAGCTATACTGTGGCTTCACTGGGAAGACAAGACACATATGGAGCACTGTTCTATTCTAATGCCATTTAGCACTTGTAAGTAGAATTTGGCTTAGACCTGGTGGAATACAAAAACATTATTAAAAGGCTGTGTTGCAATGGAAAAGCAGAAGTCACACATTTGATGTCCTGTAAAAGTTCTTCAAGTACTTTGATATTTTGTCCCTTCTGATCACAGATATTTTGAACTTTTAGTGATTTGTCTTGGAGTTTTGGGCACAATAAGCAAATTAAAATAATAATAATTTGTCAACAGATGAGTGTTCTTTATACTGATCAACGGTATGAAGTTTGGGTATTATTTCCACAACGAGAACACCCATGCTGATAGGTTGTACTTGTTGGATTACAAAACTTTATCAGCCCATCCTTGCAAAGAATATCAATTTACAAAGCTTGTATTCATGGCTTTCTGGAAACCCAATGAATGCCATTTTCATCAAACAAGTTCTAGATCAGAAAGGGTACAGAAGAGTAAAGCACTATATCATATGCCTCTGTATGGCCAATACCTCACTGAGATGTTCTGAATCTTGCACAGTGCAGTTTCCTCCCAAAAATTTCCCAAGAATCCTCAGCACACCCTGCACAGCAGGTACATCATCACAGGAGCTGTGAGCTAAACAAAACCTGTGTAGGAGAGCAGTTACTCCCAAGAAGCAGCTCTGGCTTGCTCTGGGTGACTCCAGCAAAGGCTGTAAAGGAGCACAAAAAGAACAGGGCGCTTCAGAGAAGTCATGAGAGTGGCTATGGTAACATACCACAGAAAAGAAATGTATCAAAATATTTACATACTAAAACACAATCTCAACAATGGTATTTTCAAACAGTCTGTAAAGGAAGTACATAAGCAAACAACAAGAAGAGGACAACCTTGCAGAGATATACTAGAAAATTCTTGCACATATGGGCTAAATTAGTGTCTACATGGTACAGACCTCGGTTCTTTTCACAAGAAATCATACCCTGTGTGCTTAGGAAGGAGTGTAAAAACAAATCTAAACTATTTTTCTGGACCCTCCAAACAGTAAGACCCTCACCAGTACACAATTTCTCTAAGTTCCACCTCTATACTTAATGAAAACCACTGATAGCTCAGTAAATCCTGGGTAGTTTACCCATTTTTAGATGAAAATTAGTTTTTCTCTCCCATAAACCTGCTAATTCTTAATTTCTGTGTGAAGAAAGCCTGTTACTGTTGAAAATCCCACCACTTCAACCAGTGCTTGTGAACCCCAAATTTTTTTAAAATATCTGGGCTACAGATGCAAATCAAGCTGCTTTCTCATTTGGAAACCAGGTAAAAATAGCCAGTATTTTCACCACCAAAATTACCTGGACAGAGTTTTGTATATATCTATGAAAAAGACTATTACTGTAAAACACAAAAATTATGGACCACCATGATTATGAGATCAATGACAAATTAAAAAAGAAAAAGCAACATCCACTCACAGCGAGAGATTCAATCATGCCCGAGGTGGGCTTAGGAATGAATGCAAATGACCAGAAGAAATGTTCTACTTTGTCTTCCTCGACTTCTCCAGAAGCCACAAGTTCTTTCATTAGGACAACACATGCCTCTGTAGCACAAGATGGGAGAGCATCTATTAATGGTTGCCTGTAACACAAGAAAAAAGTACAGCAAATCTAAAAATGTACAAAATACTCAAGAATCAAATTTGCTTAAAACCAGCAGCACTGATTTCCCTCTGAGCCATGACTCAGGTTTCCTGTTCCCCTTGCTTCTGAAACGGGAAGTCTGTCTGTGGGAATAGGCATGGGACAGGAAAGTCTATTTTGTACACAACAGTCATTCAGTGAGGAGAGAATATCATCCCTCTGTTACAGAAACAAGATCTGCTAGACAAATGCTTCCTTTGAAATGCTCCAAATATAAATCCAACATCAGGGCATAGATTTAAAACACTGAACTATTTTAGATAGGAAAGAAACCTTTTGTGACTACGTAATTTTTGAATGCAATTACTGAAGGAACCTTACCAGTTGTCTCTGCACTTAAATGAAGATCTTTGCCATAGTGCTCTTAAGGCCTCAAGAGAGAGATGTCGGAGCTCAAACACGAGGGTCATGAAAAGGCCTGCAGTCTGCAAGTGCACAGAACCAGGTGTAATATTTCTGCTGTGCAGAAACCAGCTTCAGAGAACAGAGCACAACAAGCTGACACCAGCATTGCCACTGATTTACAATTTAACCTGAGAGCAAACCCCCTGTTCTTCCCTTTGTTCCTACATTCCTTCCCTCACTTGCTTTTCTGTCCAGACTGCAAACATACAGGGAGAGGGCTTTTACTTTGGATATCAGTCAGTCCCTCAGTGACCACCATGCACACCACTGGCATACAAATGAATAATAAACCCAAATGGAACACTGTGGTTACAACCCAGAAGAGAAGATCATAATCTTCGCTGAGTTTGCACAGCAAGATCCTGATTTATGGCCAGAACTGCTGACATAGCTTTAACACTGAATGAAACAATGGTCAACCTAACTTTATATTAGTCTTAGGTTTGCATGAAAGATCATTTAGCTGAGGTTTGGACAACACTTAGAAGCTTGTTTTTCCTTCTATCTGCAGAATTGTTATAGTTCTACTTGAAAAAAAAATTTAAAAATTCCTCTGAAAGCATAAACATGATATTCTTTACACTCAATCAAGAAGTAGCTAGTAACTATAATACCTCAGTAGGAAAAAAAAAAGAAAGAAAAAACCTTATCATGCCCTTTTTTGGGTCAGACTGGGGTGAGGCAGAGCAAATCTGACATACTCTTGCCCACCCTGCTTAATGCACACACAGTGCATTCACTGGAGTTACAGACCAAGCATCAAAACCCAGACAGTCAAATGGAAATTCAGCCTCCAGCAGAAGTGATGTGATCCTCAAGCCTCTCTCAAGTGAGAATCCCTTCTCCCCATCCCTTTTTCCATTCTTTGTCAGTATGTAGCTTGTTCACTTAATGGTCCATTAGCTAATCTACATCCACATTGAAATTCAATCTTGTTCCATAATAGCATTAAAAAATTAAACAACGACTTTGCTTCCTTGGAAATGACAGTCTCCACCTCCATTTTCTCATCCCTTCACTGTTTTCCCTGGAGTTGGGGATTTTTCCCTTCCACTTATTCTTGGCTTTGTGTCCTGAAAGAAATGCATAATCTCACCTCATTCAGAGTCAAACAATAAGGGGACAAACAAGCTGTACACGCAGAACAACGCAGCTGTCTCCCAAGCAACCTGTGGCCATTCCCATAACTTCTTTCCTGGCCCAAAGGACGTTTTATTGGTTGAAATGAGGGATAATAAAGATTCTCTTTGAAACGTCCTGTCACACAGAAGGAACACCCTGAAACAGTGGAAATGGTTCGCAACCAATCGAACCCTGTGCTGGGGCAGGCATATGATGAATAATTCACCTCTCTTTTAGGCAGTGGCACAGACAGCAGCCACTTGTGCTAATCCTAGTGATTTACTAAACAAATTTCCCACACATGGAGCCAGTAGGCCTCTTTGGAGGCAGAAGTGACATCCCACTGTTACTGGGAAAAATCGTCTACCATTCTTTCAAAGACAACGAATTATGGGTGAATTTAGAGAAAGTTTCTCAGATCCACTGCAGTAATTTCTTCTTTCAGCATTTTCCAGCCAGTGTGTAGCCCTCTAGTCTGTGCCTAAACACCATTATATACTGCTGTCACACTGGCAGACACCTAGAATTAAGCATTACAGTACCAAAAGAGGCTGCTTCCATTCTACCTTAGCAAGAACCAACATATATATGGCTCTGTTAGCTCTCCATAGCCCCAATCTCCACAGCATGCAGCTAAAAGACAGAGCAGACTTGCTTGTAACTCAGAAACAGAAACCTATCCCATACTCCACCTCCCAGGAAGGCCACCTGCTGCTTTCCCCTGAGCCCGGGGCCTTGTGCCTTCCCCTTAAGTCTCACATCACACATTAAATGCCTATTTGTGCTTGTTAATCACAGCTAAAGACAAGAGAGAGGTGAATACACACAGTGTATTACTGCAGAGCTGTAATCCAGCAGTGAACTCTTCTCCAGTCCCATAGAGTCCTTACTCCATCTCCCAGCTTCTGTGTCCCACCCCAGCAAAGAGACAGGCAGAGCTTCTGTTCCTTGACCTGGGACTTGCTCTAGATAAAGGAAGGTGAAGTGCCCTCTGTGCTAGGCCTGAAGCTTTCAGTTAACATCCCTTGTGCCTATGAGCATTTGCAAGAGATATGATGTTTTGACACCTTGGTTTGATTTACTGTTTATATAGGAAAACAACACTTCAAAGCATTTTATCTTTCTCTACTTTTACATTTAAAAAACGTCCAAAACTATGAATTGCTTCAGTATTTCAAAATTGCTGCTCTCCTGGTCACCTCTTATCTGTGTAAGAGAATTCCCAGACCACAAAGAGACTCAAGGGAAACAGAGGCTGTGTATAAAAGCTCACCTCATAACTCGCACTGTGTGCTAAGCAAAGCTTCCACACCAGTTCAGTCACTTCCCTTCCTTTGACCTCCCTCTCCATTTCTTCCCTTTCATAGAGAATGCTGGTAACGTACAGATCCTCATAGTCCACTGGAAAGATATAAGGAAAAATCAGAGATCTGCTAGTTGCTGGCCATTTGCTGTGGTTAATCCTCTATGCTGGGGGGAAATTTCTCTCTGAGTCTTTATTTCTACCTCTAAGAGTCCCTCTAGTCCCAGTAAATATAATATAAATGCCTGCAGCCAGCTTGAATTTAAGAACACAAGAGAATAAAATCTAAAGATAACTGTGACCTGTGTGAGTCAGAGAAACAAGACAAAGATACACATGAAAAAAGTCCTACTTTCCATCAATATGCCTCTTAGAATGGCCCTGCTACATTACATTCAATGTCATCTAATCACTCATCCCACACTTCAACCTCCCAAAAAATCAACAGGAGATCTGGGTGCCAAGAAAAATAAATGGCTTGGCTCTTAATCTCTTCCTGGGGAAGAATCTTGTCATCTTATGTTGGCATAACTATAAACAAAAGGCATCCTGGAAATTTGGGGTTTCCTTTTAAAGAAAAAATCCAACTATTTAGAAGCAGACAAAAATAATACAAAATGTTTCTCAACATTTAGAGCCCAACTTTAAAATCTTTCCTCAGGCAAGTTGCTTGTTGTAAAATCATTCTCCTAAGGAGAAGCACGCAGAGCAAAGAAAGAGAAAAAGTCAAAACAGTTCTCAGACGTGGTGTGTCAGTTCCATTAGGACTTACAATTAATTAGGACCCATTTGCATAATAATTATGAATTGTCCACAGGCACAGGAAGGCTGATGCTCTGTGTACAAGGCACTAGGTATGTAAAGTAGGTAAAAAGGAGTTGGCCATTACAGAAAGTCATTTTTGGAGACCCACCCTGCTTTGTTATGGCAGGCTCCAGCTCTTGAAGAAGGGACAGCTCAGCCCAGCCTGTAAAAACACCAACTTCCAAATCATTTAATACATTGGAGGAAATACCATGGGCAAAGAGTTCTCACAGTCCCAAGACTTTTCTAGGAAATATATTTATTTTATTTTAGCAGAAACCTTTTTTGTGCAGTGTGTCTGCTTCCACCTGAAGGAGCTGCAGCGAGGACTGTGTCTGTGTGTCTGTCCCACCACCCTTCTGAGGGAACAGCGTCACACGGTCGGACTCGGTGCATCTGGCCTCTGCCAGGACTCCATCCTTAATGCTCTGAACACATTCCAGTTTGGAAGACAGGACCTGCTGCTCAGACTGGGAAGAACAGATACTTCAGGTAAAGTTATTGATGACCTGTTTAATCCTCCCAATCCTTCCTCTCCCAGCCTCGCAGAGGATTCCAGCTCTGGGATAGCTGCAGTCCCTTGTCTAGACCTCTGACAGTGCCCAGCCTGGGGAGGTTAACGTGCTCTTTATTTTCAGTCTAGCTTTTCATCACTGAAAAGCAACTGCTGCTAACTTTCAACATCAAATGGTCTCAATTCATTTCAGTTCACAAAGCCTCAGTGTTAAGCAGCTCTTTTTGGTCAGTAGAGCTGAAAAAAGCAAAAGGCTGGTAAACTACAACTAGCTAGTATACAAGAAACAAGTAATATCCACCTAATAAAATGGCATAAGATACAAACATTGACTGTATTTGCTGTCAACAGTGGAAAGCTGCAAGTCTGGCTCTTAGAAAAGCTCCTATCTTTCCAAAGTTTTCTCAAAAGAATAACTTTCTTTTCATAATGTGTTTTTTTCTTGTTCACATATCTCTATTCCCCTTTTCCATGCTCCACTTTCAGTTTATCACTATAACATGTTTTAATGAGAGTTTAATCCAGGTCCCTAAGAACCTCTTGCCTTTATACTGTAACATTCATCAATTACAGTGCAAATTGGCATGAAAACAAATTCTGTAAATAACAGGCATTTCAGGCAGAATTATATTCATAATTTCTTTGCTAAGGACTCAAGTTTGGGCAGACACACACTCTTCAAATAAGCTAAAAGGTCCCGTGGAATAATCAGTGTCATTCCCCCGAAACTCACCGACACATGAGGAAGAACAACAGACTGCACAGAAGTAAAACCAGAATGTCGATGAGAGCAGAGGTTTAAGTCCCTTGTCTTTACAAGAACAGGACCCTTTCGCTGGTACTTGGTTGGGCATATTCCCAGAACATCCACCTAGTAACAAACATACACTGCTGAATCACACATGCAATACAAGGAGGTATTGTGGGTTATTACAATTAATTTTAATAATTACTTTTCTGTAGTAACAACAGAGACCTAAATTCTCCCTGGCAGAACACTGGTTTTGCCACAAAAGCTGTGAAAAGGCAAATAATTTTAAAGACCTTGGTCAAACTTTATAGTAGCCAGGGCCTGTTGATCTGTTTAACCTCTCTGTGTTATTCTGAATCAGATCATTTACAGTTGTATGCTTTTTCAGTTGAGGTTTTGTGGGTGTACAGGGAAGCATTAATTCAGAAGAATGTTACTAATCAGCATAAATTTAATTACATATGGATGTCTCAAGCCTTATAGCAGAAAATCCCTTTAAGCACTGACATGCAGCAATGGCAGGAGAATGAGGTAGTGCACATCATGCTGAAGGTCAGTCTAGAGACAGCTCTTCACAACAGAACCAGAGCCCTTGAGGTGTCTCAGCTGCACTCGTGTAAACACACAGGTGACAGCAGGGTAGGCTGGCCTATTGTTTCAGTCTAACCCAGCAGAACTTGAGCTTAAGCATTAAAATAATTGCAAAGAACTCCAAGAAGCCAGATCGTAAAGCCTCCTGAAATTAATGAAAAAAAGAAAGGAGAAGTAACCATGAATAATGAATATAATATTTTCCCCAGAGAACAGGTAAAGCCCTGGTGTTACAACCCTGGTAACGAAGCAGTGGATTCAACAAGAATGAGAACTTATAACATCCACTACAAAAAACAATTAGGTGACTGCCACTGTCTGCTGAACCAAGTGGAAAAAAATTTTATTTATTCACAAAAGGCATAGACTTAGCATGTCCAAGGGCCTCAGTGAGCTCAGAGCATGACTGTAGTGATGGTCTCACCTCCTCAACAACGGCACCGGCAGCGGGTGCTTGCGCTGTCTGCAGGACACTGAGAATGCCTCGTTTTATGTTCAGTGCCCAGGGCTGCTCACTCCTCACAGGGCAGAGCTTCAGAACTTTCCCATCATGGAAAGAAAAATGAAGAGGATGCTGTTCTAGTATTCCCCTGTAATAAAACAGTTTATTGTTTCTTGCTTTGAATAGTGCAAGTCGGTCTATGACAGGCTCAGATTCCTCAACAGAGCTGTTCCTCCACAATGGATCTGTCTCATTCTGTATCTCCACTCTTCGTAGCACGCCTCTATTCTTCATAAATCCACCCTGACCCTAGGAGTCCTTAAAATACCCCTCATAAAACCCTAAAAATAAATCCTCTCGAGATAATCACAGCATCCTTGACATAATTGTAAAGAATTCACCTGGAGCTGCTTTTATTAGATGTTACAAGTGAATGCACTTAATGTTCTTGTTCAATGTAAGAAAGAAATTCCATTTTATAATTCAGGGTACCTTTGGCATTGGAAGGCCTGTCTGAACTGCAAAGTAACATTATGTCTCTTCAGGTGTCATACACAAGAACAACTGCTTTCCAATGAACCCATACCTTCCTGCTCTGCTAGGTCTTTATATCTGGGCTTTATCCCAAATTTGTTCCCCCACCTCTGCTATCAGTACACTCCCTAACTGCTTTTCCTATCCCAGAGTACACAGCATTTTCTACATTTGCAAGAGGTCACTTTTTAACATTGATTTTCACTCCTTATATAATGTACTTTAACCATATAATTCCCCTCTAAGTGGGGAAAAACAAGCCATCCAAAGGAAGAATTCTGCAGTAGCCCAGTGTTCAGCTCCCATACAGGGAGACAGACAGTTCACCTGCCCATTAACTGTGGAACTAATCGTTCATCTCATCAGCCGGGTCACAGAGTAAGAGGTAAACTTTAAACACACCAACATCTGGATAAAGTCTTTCCAGAGGAAGAGACTGGGCCCATGGGATAAGGGGTTCTGAACTCCTAGGCAACTGTGGCTGCTTTTGCTACTATCTGTGGAAATTACATGCGTGTTCAGAGGACAAGCCAGACTACTGTATGTTCACAATAGGCTGAGGCAAATGCTAATAAGGTTTACTCATGTGAATAATTATTTTCAATAGCCAAGCTTCACTGAATGCTTTCTTTGCTATCTCTATTTTTGGGCTTCTCTGCAAAGAATGAGGCACAACTGCTCTTACAGCTATGAAAGTCCTGCAAAGAACTTCACAGAAGATGTGCCTGTACTCTCGTTTGAACTCTGATACCACTGCCCACACTGGGGAACACAGAGTTCTTCCTGATTAATATAAAAAGCAATGCATTTACTCCAAGCTTGCTCTTTTTGACCCTTTGAATTGAGTCAATTACCTCAGTTTTCAGTGTTGTTTAAAGGCTGAGAATCCAAGTGGCAGGACAAAGAGGAAGATTACAAGGCTGAGCTTAATCAGACAACAGAACTGCTTTTCTTTTCACAACACAAGAAGCGTCAGCTCGCTGGGAAAATGCCAGACCTCCACAGTTTGAAGAGATCTTTTTGTATAGGCATCTACACTGGAGACTATACCTTGGCAAGTCAACGAGAAACACACTGACATATGTTATGAATGAGCTACTAAAACCAAGAACATAAAAGGAAGAAAATCAAATTAGATAAATAAATGCAGTTTAAATATACGGGAAGGAAAAAAACCCCCCAATGTTTTGCATTGTGAGACTCTTCCAAACCAATAACTTCTGAAATGTGCTTCAAAACTCAAGAGTCTGTACAAGTAACAACTACAGCCTAGAGATCTGTGATCCATACAGGCTGCTAACCAGCCAGAGGCCTGATAATTTGTGCCCAGAATAATTTTAGTAGTCTGCTCTCCAATTGTTTTTACATACAAAGGGATGAAAATTAGGTTTAAAAAAAAAACCTGTTTGGACCAAATACTTCTCATTTTGCTGGTGGTGTGCACATCTTGATCCTTGCTTTTTAAAAAAAAAAATAAAATAAAAAAATCAAAAGAAACTCTAAACCTAAACATAGTATGAAACACAGTGAACGATGTCCAGTCAAGTAGCTGCTAAGCCATATAGCTTCAAAAAAACCCCAAAACTACACCAGATTAAGTTTTCTACCTTAGACTGTCTATTTCCTTCAGAGGCTCCTCTCTGGATGCAAAACTTTTCTTAATCTGTACATCTTGCACCTAGGAGCAAAGATATAGGCAATGTATTTCATTGTCAAAAGGAAGTTGTGCCACATCAAAGCAATGCTGCAATTCTAATTATGAGATCCAGAATTGAACTGGATCTCATCTTTTAATTACAAGAAAAACAAGGGGCTCAAGTGTAGCAATAATCCCAAAGAAAGGTAAGGTTACATGTCAGCTCCTCCCAATCTCTCAGATTGTTATGACAATACTTACTTTCAAAACCATCTGGCAATTCCCCAATACCTCGATGATCACTGTGCTCTCCAGAGAGATGCCACTTCTTTTGTGAATACTTCCCTGCAGGAATGTGCTGGTGACTGCTGAATACCTGTAGCTGTATCTAGCTCTTTTGGGGAAGTACCATGCACTGTGTCCTGGGAAACAAACAAAAAAATGGGGTAGTTTTTTCAGTTTATTAGGCTTTCCCCTTCCCCTATTTTTTTTCTACCTTTTAATCTTTTTAAAAATCCAGAAAGAAATGGGTTTCCCAAAGCACCCTGCACATTGGCCATAGCTCCTGCACAGAAGGTGAAAATCCTTCCCCTCTCTCCTATGCACAGAACCTCACCAACTCCTTCGAGGCAGGAAGACAATTTCCAAGGGCAGAAAAGGGATGCAGTACATTCACAGCATGATGTTCTTCTGACACCTTTCAGAGAGCAGCAAGAGCCAGATGAAGTAGATCTGCTGATGCATTCACAGTGCTCTTAATGCCCATGGCTGGGTTTAGTCCTGCACTCGTTTAGTCCTTGCTCAGCTTTAAAGTCTGGGAGCTTTCTGAGTGCACAGAATGAGAACTTTAAGCAAGTGTGGGCCTGGTAAAGCTTAGTGGAACTTCTCCTCTACCTCCATGAATACTGATTCCTCAGACATAGGTATCATTCTTCTCAGAACACAACATCCTACGAAAGGGAAGGAAAAATCCCTCCTCCCTTACCACATAGAAGGCCTGAGTACAGTCTTGTTTTACTCACCTACACACTCTGCAAAACAAGAAGCTCCATAACTTAAACTCTCTGAGGATCCTGCAATGACAGGGAAGAGAACAGAAAAGCACTGAAAATGTGTGTGCAGCTCAGTATAAACCCACTGTTTTTAAATTTCAATGAAATAACTGAAATCAAAGCATGGTCCTAAAAACAAATAAATAAATCCATGACAGTTTTTCTACCGAGTACACAGGGACAAGACTTTGCCCTCACCCCATTCCACACGTCTTACTCACAAGCACATACATAAAGGAATGACCTGCCTTAGTGTATTTATTGAGGTAAGCATGGAAATGCAACAATACAGTGGCTACCAAGTAAATTTAAAAAAGAGTTTCTTAATCCAAGAAAGATATACATATTATCCACCACACTTCTTCATATCCATGGTCTTTTACCTTTATTGCAGTTCAGGAAAATTTCTACATAGCTATGACTTTTACTGCACATGGTCATTCAAGAAATCCTAAGCATCACTGAGAACAAGAGCAAACTTTACTGCCTAAGAAAAACTTTTGCTGCAGCAGCACACTAAGGAACACAAACATCACAACTTGAGCGTGGCAGTTGGTTCAGATGTCCTTTAACACTGGAGAGCCTGTTCTCCAGCATGACTTTCACTCAGACTTTGACTGGGAGGGCAGCGAGTTCAAGGGGATGTAGAAGACACCACACAGATGGAACTGCTGTAGATTCACGTTGGCACTAACAGGGGAAACAGCTGGGGATGCTGGTACAGACCTTCCACTCCTCCTCATTCTGTGCACACATCTCTGCACACTGAGCTAGCAGGACTTTCATTCCAATGCTCTGATGCTGAACGACCTAAAATGAGCCTGGCAGAATTACATGCAGCAGTTATTGAAAGCACTGCTAGACAGCAAAACATCCACAATGAACTGGAAGAAAAAGTCTCTTTTCACAGAGGAGTTTTTGAGGGTGAATGAAATTTTTAGGGTATCCATTTCCTCTGCATCACTGTGATTGCCCCTGCAGGCATGACTGGGAACTCAAAAGGGCTGGGCTAATAGGAACAGCCAAAATCAGATACATAGTCCTGCTGCACTTGTATGTGCCACAGTGAAAGAAAATGTCCCAAGCAATTCAATAATAAGTACAATCATCCCAACCCCTATGCCATGAAAAGCTAATGAGCCTCCCTGTGAAGCAGTAACTAACACCCCTGTGCTGCTCAGCTTTGTCTCCCACCGGAGACAGAAGGTAAAAGAACCTCTTTATTCTGGTTCTGGCTCTTGGGTGTTTTACATATGCCCAAAGGAAACACCCTTGTCAAACTACAACATTTAAAAATCCACATTAATATTATTTATTTCAAACTAATTTTCCCTTCTCTTAATCCCTTTTGTTAAATGTCAAAACTATTGGCGGGAGGAAAGAAGGGAATTCACTGGATTTAGGACAAAAACAAGAAAGGGTTTGTTTCTTCACGCCCCCTCAATCTTACATACATTTTTATTCCCAAATTAAAATTAAAGTTTCTAGAGAGTAGAATTACATTTTTCTTGAAAAGATCTTATCCCACACTTATATTTCTTCCCATCAAATCCTCCTTTTCGTTTTGCAGAATTAATTCACTGTACAGAACTTCAGGTTTTACCTTCCAAAAGTATGAATAACATTATTTTGGTTCTGGAAACAGCCCACACTTATCTTCCCTCAACTGATAAGAGTAACAAACTACTGACAGTTCGTGATCTATTCACACTTCTCAGAACCCTTCATCTGCCGAATACCAAAGTGAGCACAATTTTAGAACACTATACTAACATACTATTTTCAGACAAGGATAATAAAATGACTGGCAGAACCCCAGTGTTTCTGCTGCTTTCCCTAAAATGCTGAAGGAAGATGCACCCCTTTCCAGGTAGAGCTCTCCCACTTGCCCGGTACCACCCAGAGAGCTCAGTAAAGCAAACTGCTACACCACGCTGAAAATCAAGACAAAGCTGCTACAAGAATTACCACAAACCTACAAGCTGTAACATAATTTACAACATCTCAAGAGTTTCGCTAGCGAGATCATTCCTTAGCAGAAGTATTCTGCATTGAGAGCAGAGGAAAAAGCTTCTTCTACTTACTCCCTGAAGCTCCTGCCACAACAGCACAGAGTAAAATGATGGCGTGCAACCCCATGGCCATCGAAAGCACCTCCTCTGGCCAGAAGTTAACAAAAACACATCAGTTCTCCTCTCAAAGGCACCTCTGAGCAAGGCAGTGAAAGAAAATTTCCTTCACAAAGCAGGATCTCACTATTTCAACTCCCCTCTTGCAGCCAGAGGAGGGGCTCTGGCAGAGGGGAAGGGGCACATGTATAGCAAGGGGGAGAGACAGACACACACAAACAATGATCCCATCCCCAACAGCATTCCAACCCTTTTGCAAAAAAAGAGAGAGAGAAGTTAACGTATTAGAAATTCCACAAAACTGCAAGGGAAAGAGATTAAGTATATGGCATCACAGCTGAGCAAATGCTCTGCTCTCCAGTTCACCCTGAGCTACTGTTTACTTCAAGCCAGATTCACAAGTAGAAATCATAGATAACATATGATAATCCCATACTACTCCCCTCTGCTAAGCCTGCACTGTTACAGCCTCTCTCCCGAATTTACTTGCTCCAAAAGGTAACATTTGCTCACAAAACACTTACAAATATTAAAGGGAAAGCAACTTCTCGCATGTGCTTTGCAAACATCAATAACTAAAGATGGTGTGAGAGAGCAATCCCAGTCTAAAGAGTTAATAAAATATTCCATGATGAAAGCTGGGCTCCTCTGTCAAAATCCCTGATCTACCAAATGCCAAACTCAGAGTCAGCTCAGGTCTGAAACTGAATTAAAAAAAAATAATCTTACAGGTTTCATGCAGTGGCTCAAATTTCCCACAATTGACCCAAAACAGTAACTGAGAAATCTTTCTTCTTCCTTCATGGTGATTTTTCAGACTACTCTAAATTTGAAAACTGCTTCAGAGATTTGGATGTGGAAATCTTGTGACTTGTTGAGTTTACAATTTTTAATCTGCTGAGTTACTCAGTCTGGTATTCATTCTAGCTTTTCATTGAATTACAGAATGGGTTCCACGTCAGCTTACTGAGAGACTCAGAGATCTGCCTCATGTTCAAACTCAGATTCAGGCTGGGACCCTGAGGTATGTTATATGGAAAACACTGCTGGAACAGAGCAGCTTCAGGATCTGGGCTTTGGCTTGGAGAAAGAAAATAGAGTGCAGTGTCACCTGGTAACTGCATCTAATTTTCTATTTTGTTCAAATTGTCTTACTCTGATTTTTCAGTCAGAGATGCAAATCACACCTTTCTAAAATAATCAAATTTGTATTTGAATTTCAAGTTTTAGATTTGCAGCTTCCCATTTCTTAGGGAAGAAACTACATTAATTTAAACAAAAAAAAGAAAAATATTTTACTGTAGGTATATGAGCACACTCCAGAATTTATAAATCTGAGCTTGCTTGAATCTTGAGTTTCAAAGACCCAAAACCAAAGAAATTTGCAAATGAAATTCCAGGGCTTTTTTGCTAAAAATATTTCAGCTGCTTTCAGTATAGCGGAGATTTGGGGCCCTTCGTATTGAAACTTCTAAACTAGGAATTAAATGCCTGAATTGCAGTTGACTCTTAAATGCATTCTGGAGCCAAACCTCTAAGATAAAACATGGATGGCATCAGTGTCCTGGGCACTGGACTGACTTCCCTCATGTGATGGTTGGAAAGTGCAGGATGCAGCCCAAGACTCAAATTTAACATTTTTTAAGCATTTTTTTCTACCTCCCCCAAATGAGATTTTTCTAAAAAAAACGATCAGAACAACTCCCCCAAAAGAGGCTGACAAAGAACCTCCTGAAGAGAAATTTTCCCCATGTTGCTGTCCTAGGTAACCTTAAAGTACTGAAGAAAATACTGGCGCGTGTGCTACAGACACACTTTAATGACACACAGGAGACCCACGCTGGCTGTAAGGCTCTGAAAAGTATTCCTCCATTTTCATGGATACTGTACTTAAGTTCGGAAAACGAATTTAATAAAAATCACCATCTGGCACACAACAGGGTAAGCCTGTCCGGGGACACCTGAAAACGGTGCACCAGTATTGCCAAGAAAATCCGACCTTTAACAAACTGGGAAAGTCTGTTTTGTTAAAGGCCCCACAGATATTTTAAACGCAGTCTTATTGTAACACTGATGTTTAAGCCCAAAGCAGGAGGGAAGCGCCCTCGGAGACAGCTCCAAACTCGACTCCAGCGCACTCACCTCCCTGTGCCTACGGAATAGGGTGTCGGGGAGCTTTGGCTGGTTCCGGACCCAAAATGGGCCTGGAGCGACCCCCGGAGCCCCTCAGGGCACCGAGCCCTGCCCAGCGCTCCGGGAGCGCCGCATCTCCGGGGAAAGCGCCCCGACACCGCGAGGGGCCGGGAGGCACCGGCACTTCCCAGCCCGCTTTCCCAGAGGAAATCAAGCCATGGAAGGGTCACCTGAAAGCCCCAGGGCTGTGGCCGCTCCCCGGAGCCCCGGCCCCAAGCGCCGGCGAACCCGCGGCCGAAAAGGGCCAACGAGGGCTGCGGGGAAACGGGGTGGTGTGTCCGCACCTCCAGCCCTGTGTCCAGGTCTGTGCCTCTCGCTCCAAGGACATGGAGCTGCTGCAGCGTGTCCAGAGGAAAGCAGAGGAGCTCCTCATCGCTCTTGATGAGGAGCAGCTGGGGGGTTCAGCCCAGGTGTTTAGAAAAGAGGCTTCAGGGGCGACCTCTCTCTCTCCAACTCCCTGACAGGGTGGTCAAGCATTGGAAGGGAAGGGAAGGGAAGGGTGGAATCGCCGTCCCTGGAAGCATTAAAAAAAAAACATGTGGATGTGGTGCTTGGGGACACGGCTGAGCGTTGGACCTGGCAGCGTTAGGGTAATAGTTGGGCTCGAGGATCTCAGAGGTCTTTTCCAACCTTTATGACTCTGTGATTCTATTATCCTAGAGAGAGAAAAATCTTCAGCGCTACTTTGTGAACAACAAAAGCATTTTACGAGGCATGAGCCTGAGGTAACTTTAGTACAACTAGTTGTCAAGACAGCCCACCGGCCAGGAGAAGGCGCTTCAGAGGCTGTGTGGAGCAAGAGGTGGAAATTGCTTGGGGGTTGTCTTTTTTTCCCCCCTAATGTTTTTGTGACCGCCCTGCAGCCGCACCCAAATGCACCACGGCTTTAGGTCCCAGAGCAGTGCCTGCCACACACCCGTTAATGCAACAGTCCTCTGGAGGTCGCTGAAGCTGCTTTTTTGGGGATTTTTTTGTTACAACGATCAAGTAGACAACCACAAAAGGACTTTAAGAACCCGCCTACTCATTCTGAGTTCGTTCTCGACACAGGCACAACTACTTTTAGCAATTCCAGACCACACACAGCCACCTGTTCAAACAGACATTAGATTTTCAGACTGTTAAAATCAATTACAAGTGATAACAAGAAGCACTTCCTTTGAAATCAGTAGGTTTCACACGCACCTTTTGATGTCCTGCTTTGAAAAAGTAATAAGATGCTCATTGGCAAATTTATTTCTATACTGGATTCACACCCAGCATATCATACAGGAGGGTATTCCTCTCACAAAAATAGATTAAAAGTCATCCTAAATTGTATAAAATACAATTCACACCGTCACAGGACTTTCACTTCTTAGTTTTTACTTCCAGAATGACAATACTCACCTCTTGCTGCTCAGTTATGAAGAATGTTTAACTGGGTTTGAGTAGACAAATCACAATTCATTTCTTCAGAAAAGAACTTGTGGTTAGACTGACAGAAGTATTTTCGCAAACACTGCAATAAATAGCAACTTTTGGAAACCACACTGAACTTGCTAACAACTCCCTCTGGTAAGGCTATCAGCTGCTTTTTGCTGGTTTTAACAGCTTTTATTTTGGATGACAAATCAAATTGTATTTCCTTCTGGCTCAAGCCTCATCAGAATTTTAACATTGTGTAAGATTCTGTCTATGAAAAATAGAAATCAAAGTCTAACAGAAAGCAATGTCATCCTGGAAAACTAATGCAGGTGGGAGCAGGGGAAGGCTTCACTTGAATTTGTCATGGAAGGCCGGAGGATTTCAGACAGCCTATGTCCCTTCCTTACTTATCTGTGAAAATAGGATGAGCCCACAAAGTCAGCATGTCACCTCTGTATGTGGCAACAGAAGAAAAACCATTTGTTCACCACTTGCTTACTACCAAAATAACCATAAAATTACTAAATAAAATAAATCCCAATGCATTAGAACAAAATTGTTTGAGGTATTAACATCACCTTCCTGTATTTTCTGCACCTCATAAAAAAAAAAGTGCTTCAGACATTAAAAAAACCCCAGAGTATTCTTACCTGATTAACAGGGATTCTTTCCAACTAAATACAGTGATATTTGGCTTCTATTTTCTCTCCACTGGTTACTGGTATGTGAGTGTGGAGCCATATTTATGTGTGTTTGTTTAGTTGTATTGCAGGTGAAAGTTTTACCCAGAAGTGTTTTAACTGAAAAACTTATTGTGCCTGAGTTGCAGGAAAACAACACATTTTCCATGTGGCTCCGTGTGTGACAGTTGGTCTGCAGGGCAGAGAATGCCATTTATCAGAGACTTGGCCCAAGTGACACTGAAAAATTTCTTCCTGTAATAACATTTCTTAACATTTCAGCTCTCCGTATGTTTGGAAACAGTCCAAGTGTTACAATTTTCCAATTACAACCACTAGATAGGAAAGACAAAGTTTTTATTTTAAAAGGAGTCAGTTTTAAAAGAAAACCCAAACAACAATTTCAAGATAATAAACACAAAGTGCTTTCACACAAGGCAAGTTATATCCTGCATTTGTTTTTCCAAGATAAGTTTCACAAAGTGGTGCATTCTGTAGATAATTCCATACGCAAGAGAACAAACGCAGGCTTTGCATTTAAGGAAATTTAAGTATAGAGGGGGCAGCAGAAAGTTTTGCAGAATGCTGAACTAGACTGAAGAGCTGCCAACATTTTATGTCCCACTCTCAATCCATACAGGGAACTCAAAGAGAAGCAATGGACTGTGCACATAAAAGAAAGAAAAACACTTTTGTTTTGGTCAGTGTTCTATATTCTGGTGCCACCATCTCAGAT